ACATTCTAGGTATTTAAACTGTGTAACACACTAGTTATACTTAAACAAAATCATTTATTATAGATGCATGTCACAACAAGGAATGTCCATTTTTACACATTGATCCTGAAACTAAAGTCAGAGATTGTCCATGGTACGATCGTGGTTTCTGCAGACACGGTCCTTTGTGTCGGCATCGGCATGTTAGACGCGTCCTGTGTATGGCTTACTTAGCCGGCTTTTGTCCAGAGGGGCCAAATTGCAAATTCATGCAGTAAGTTATATATACGTGTACAAAAAAAAACGCAAGTCCATAATATAGAAATATATTTCGACTATCAGCATCTTGAAATTTAATCTGTGTTTAGTCCAAGATTCGAATTACCGGCGGTGCAGGACATGCAACCAAAGGAGGGCAAGAAAGTGATGATCACTTGTCACTTTTGTGGGGAAGGAGGTCATAAAGCAATCTATTGCAACAAAATGCCGCCCGATGTGCGAGAAGCTCAAGTCAGACAGGAGCTTGATAACAATTCTCACACGTCGCATCACCATATGAATATGCACAATGGACCACCGCCGCCGCGAGGGCCGCAAAAGCCACTCGAAGAAGTGACGTGTTACAAGTGTGGGCAGAAAGGTCATTATGCCAATAAATGTCCAAAGGGTCACTTAGCATTTTTAAGTCATGCAGGTAGTGGAGGTGGTGCACAGAATCAGAATTATCGGAGATGACTTTTTTCGTTTTATTTGTGTAACATGAATATTGTGATGCTACTTTATCTCATTATTATCTATAAAAATTTCTATCATACAATAAAATAATTTATCATACCTAACATATGTGTCAACTGCCGCTCTTACGGTGTTTCAACGATAACTGAAAGCATTTTCATGCTTTTTTTGGACATAACATCAACATTTAAAAAGTAATATAAAAATTAAGAAGCAGCTCGCACTTAAGCGGGTTCTTTAATACTAAGTTTTTCGTTATTAAACTGTAACAAATTAAAAGTATTTAATCTAAAAATGATTCTAACTTAAATAAGTAGCTGTTACAGTTTTGCAGTAACACAGTTCCGTTCATACATGTTACAAGATGCATTTTCGTTATTGCTATATCAGCATCTGATACAGGGTGTTATAAAAAGATATATATTTATATAATATGGGTTAATTGGATAAAACCTGTATGACCTGCTGGGAAGACATACATTTTACCGGTTATGATTACCATTTCAATCGTCTCTCTTCTGAGATTTTTACCAATTGAACTGTTACATTAACTGTAAACTCACTCCTTGTATAAATGCTTTAAGATTGAACAATGACGTGGAAGGCGCAAAATGTTACGAAGACGTGCGTTTCAACTGTTACATGCTAAGCACACGTTTCCATTACAAAAGGTTTTTTCTAGTCATTCAGAATTATATTATCACGTAGTTCAATTTTACTTATAGCTTAAAATGTAATAGCATTTATCAGGAATAGGATTACGCTGATACCGATGTCTCACATGCAAGTGGTTCTATGTGGATAATTTATGAAGAAAATGAAAAATTATATCCGATAAATTCATCTGGAAACATGTCTTATCATGTTGTGTTGTACTCGATAACTTCAACGTAATTAGCAGGGAAAAGTCCGTAAGTTCCGTCAGGTCCGAGACCTTGCCACCAGCCTTCGTCGATCGCGTCTATATGTGTGATTATATCGCCAGGATCAAATGTGATTTCTGTGTCATCGGCGGCTTGATAATCATATAAAGCTCTAGCCTTCATCCCCTCGTTATTCGGATCGAAATATAAGTACGGGCCATCTAATTGGTTGTACAATTCATTTTCAGCGACCTGCTCTTTATTCTCTGCCGTCTGTTCAGCTTTCGGTTGCGGATTCGTGGTCGTTTTCAATTCTTGATTGGTATTTTGAGACTGAGGTACTGCGGGCGAAGAAATCGTCGCTGTTTCCGCACTTATAGACTTTTTCGCTTCAGTTAGTGCTTCCTCGCGGGACTTTACATCGGGTTGATCTTTTATCTGAGTCTCTTCCAACGCTTTTCTCATAGACTCTACGTGATTGTTCTTAGGTAAAAATTGTTGCGCCGAACTCGTCTTCATCTGACCGGCCGCCGAATTCTGTTCGAATATCGCTCGAGCGTTTATTGTTCTTTGAGCAATCAATTGTTGCGTTTCTTTGCTCCTTTGTCTCCGCAGTTCTTCGCTTCGTGATTTATGATCATCTTCGGCATCATTGCTGTAATTTTGAGCAGCTTTCTGATTGCGTAAGTTGTTTGTATCCTCGACACGCTGCTCGGCCAGTTTTTGACGAGCGATTGAATTTTCCTTAGCAGTTACCTGAAACAATATTTTACGTTAACAGTGCACATATATATAATATCTAATATATGTAAAATACAATATATGTGTATATATATGTGTATATATATATATAATCAAATATACAGAATTGGAACATACTTTTTGTTCCCTCAGTTGCGTTTCCTTTTCCTCCCGAGCCCTAATTTCTCGTTCTAATTTCTGTCGCTCCTGTTCACAGCGCAACCGCTCTTGTTCCAATCTTTTTTTCTCCTCCATTTCTTCCTTTTCCCAAAACTGATCTCTTTCCGATGCATTGATCTCTTGTTCTGGGATTACTCTGCAAAATACCGATTAGGTAAGAATTGCATTGTGAACAGTAATAATACATTTCAAGACGTAACAAAACAAGATAGAGATGTTAGAAACCTGCGATACGTTGTTCCAACAGGACCTGTATTTCCTTCATTTTCACTACGAGGTTCATTAAACTTATATGCGGAGGCTGTTGCTCGCGCAAGCTTTTCCATAATCACATCTACCTCAACATCATCTTCAGAACGCGCAGTAATTGTTATATGTGCTCCCTTCAACAATTTTTCTATATCTCTAATGTGATTAGCGCACGTTCCTTTCCTAACGATTGGAGCACCTTCTCCTTGCTGTAAGCCAATATTTTGTCAAGTAAAAGCCTACAGACTAAATTATTATAATATTTATAAAAGTTTTGTTCATGTTCTCTTCATTTCTTAAAAATGTAAAATATGTTATCTTATTGAGTAAATCGTATCCCATTTCATGCATTAATTTTCTTCATACTTACCCAATTAATGAGCAGACATTTTGGTAGACTTGTTTTAGTATCGATAACTTTGCAAAATGCGTACATGATGTGGCTACTACTTAATCGATCAATCATCTCTTCCAACCCGCCATCTCCCGTTCCGACTACCTTTAAATTATTAGTCGACCCTTCGTAGCCAAACACAGCCCTGCCAAGAACAGAAAAATATTTAGACTCTCAATTATGAAGTACAGTCAACTGGGTCAAAATTATGATCGAGTCTTACGCTAACTAATAAACCATAGCTATATAAAATCATCCGTCATATGCACGTTTTAAACAATCACGTAATCTCTTATTACATTGATCTATTTATCATTTTCTATTCTATTAAAAGGAGTTAAACGTGTTCGATATCCGTATCTCATCCAGATGGAAAGGATAACTTGTCTAACAGCTTACTACATATTCTTTCCACTCGTTAACAATTATCTAGAGCGAATAAAAAATCAAGACGGATTGGGTGAGCAACCAAAGTGTTTTGTCGTGCGTCCCAATATTTACAGCGCAGATCGTGTGCATATCGCTTCGACTCGAGATTGTGAGCTCGACACCGGCGAAAGATAACCGGCTAACTTGACGGGATCGCACGCGCACGCATAGTACACGTTAAAGTGTGCCAAAACGCGAGTCGGTGCCGGATCGCGAGGAAAAGCAATGGGGGACTTAGGTGTACGCCTACCAGTTAGTAGACAATTTATCGTCGACCACGCTGTGCCAAGCTGCCACCAGGGCATCTTTGTTTTTCGTCAGATCAATTGACATGTCTCTTGCTAAATCATCAAGTTCATAACAGGTTCCGGGGCGGATTCAGGTGGATTCGATAACGGGAGGAACCGCACGGATTATATCGCTGAATAGATGGCGAACTCCCACGGTCCGCTTTGGAGTAGCGCTTTAAACGCTCCCTAGGCAGACAAACTGATATTTATATATCGAGTAATAAAAGGTGCCGTGAATCAAGGGCCTCTCTGCAAGAGGGATGTAAGTCGACTTACATCCCTATTGTTTTTTTTTTATTGCGAAAGGAAGATAAGTAAACTTGCAACCTTTATAGGTTTGATGGACAATGAAAAGCGCATTCAAAAAGCCCGCCAAAAGCGTTTTCCAAATTTTTTTTAATAATTTGGTGGGGAGTTTATCCTACATTTTACTCCTGCACTGTAAACTACAATATATATTAAACAAAATGTTTTTTTCTTATATTTTTAGCGATATGTTAAATATTTTTATTTATTACAAGTTCATGAAAGCTTCGGAAAAAACCAACGAATTTTTATAGCATCATTTTGCTTCCTCATAGAGAAAGCTTTGTTTTCGTTAAAAAAAAAATTTTTTTATTTTTTTGAATGTGTTCAGAATGTTCTAAAACGTCGATAAATTGCAATTTTAAAAAATGTCTGTATGTATGTATGTGTGTATGTATATGTGTGTATGTGTGTATGTATGTGCCTTTACCGAAATTTCTATATAACTCCAGAACTAATCAACCAAATCTTAACGAATTATATATGAAATAGGGGTAGAAAAAACTGAAGAATATAATAGAATTAATAAAAATTTCTAATAATCAAGGGGTTCTTTTTAAATAAAATTTTGAATTTTTATAGAAATGTTCGTTTATGCTTTAACTTCCGCAAATTTGGAGATATCGATCTATTTCTAATTTTATTATATTTTTCAGCGAAAATCATATTTTTCAGTCTTTTTTACCCCTATTTCATATACAATTTTTTAAGATTTAGTTGATTAGACCCAGCTTTATACGCGATCATTGGTCGAAATCTAGTAAATCTGTTCACTTTTGTAATTTTCACTTCGTTTCAAGAACCGTAATCGACCCCCAGCAGATCGTGGTCGAAACATCGTGAGTCAAATAAATATGAATTGGCCAGTTGGGTCACTTAATCTCGAATTTATTAGAAACAAAAAATGTTTTTAACGTTTTGAAAAAATTGAAAAATTTAATTTATAAAAATGGTGCTCTATTCCATTCACAAGAGACATTCTAGCTTAAAAGAATACACACGAATAAGGTATAAAAAATAATTATACTAAAAATTATATTTCTTATTGAAACGCATAATATATCATTTTCGTTTCTTACTGCCACAAGACAAATTTCTCGTTCGATCCGATCCAAGATCGATTTCATCAGCCACGGCCGTTTTCGCTTTGCACCTGTGAGCACTTGAATGCAGACACGATGACCCGCGTCTATGTTTTATTTTAGTAATTCGACAATTACTGTTAAAAAGTCGTTTTTCTCAAAATGGGGTTTTTTAACTTACATTTCTTTTGTATAGAAGCCTTCATAGAATTATGAAACAAATATGAAATGTCATCAGTCAATCTCCAGAATTATAGTCAGTCTTTTGCTGAAGGATTTAAATATTGAAATTTATTATGATTGCATTCTTGCATGAAAAAGTTTATAAAATAGTTGCAAGTATAGCAACTCGTATTATAAGAATAAGAAAAATATAAAAAAAAAGAATGAAATCATTTAGATTAATTTGGATCAATAGTCATCGCATTCGTCGATCGTATCTGAAAATGGAGGAACTGGTGGAGACATATATTTACATATGCTTTTTACATTTATATTTTCGTATCAAAACTTTTTCAATATCATATAATCTGTTTATAGAATTGTAAAACAATTTTGTATTTTTGTGTAAATATATAGTATTTTCTGATTTTCTTATGTATTATATATAATTAAGAATGTAATTTTATGAATATAATTATGAAACAATTATCTATGCTGTTTCCAAATTTATTATCTTAATGAAATATAGGTTTTCAAAATAGCTTACCATTGTCACTCACACAACGTTCAATTTTCTAATCATCCTCTTACAAAACCAAAGCACACATGAGATGATGGCAGAGATTGAAACTAGGAGTCAACTATGAGTCAATCGCTCTTACACGGAGCCACCCCATATTGTTTTACAAGACAGTATATATGCATACAAAAAAATTCGGACGATAAAGAAAATTAGCATAGCCCTTGCGTAAGAATGACACGAAAAATGGTAAAGGGTACCGTTCTACATTTTTTTTCTGGGATGACGTGGTGCTGTGTGAAAGCGGTAACTCGTACCTTTGGTAGGGTCTCAGGTTAGATCCCAAAGGATTTATCTTATATCAAGGTTTATCTTACATTTTATCTTATATCCTGAAGTAGTTTTCGAAGTCACAATCGGCGCAAAGGATATTTCTACATTTGTGTACAAGAATAATGAGTCTTATGAGGAATGTATTTCTAGAAGCACGTGGAGACTTTTGTTACATTATTTGTTACATATTTTTCTAAATTTATTATTAATCTTAATTTTATTTCTCCCAACACTGTAACAATACTTACATATTTAGAAAAGGTATTTTAATAAATATGTGCACTGGAACTAAAGTAATAAAAATATTTCTTTTATAATTTTGTCAGATAAAAATTTACATTTTTCTTATTAGTGATTTGCTTTATTAATCATTAAAAAGTCGTCATTCTTTAGCTTATTTACAACAGGTTCTTCTAATTGATGTTCTGCGATTGCAATATCATTCTTGATCTCTGTGATGAGTTCATCTGCAAAAATAAGTAACACAAAATCGTTCTTTAGTGATAACAATCTTGAAATAAGATATTTTAAATTTTAAATTACTTTGAAAGAATAGTAATTTATTTACACATATTTTATGTTACCTAAGGAAGAAAAATCTCTTTCTGGTCTTATGTATCCGGCAATAATAACCCTGAGCTTTTCACCGTAGAAATCATCTTGGAATTTATGTAGCAGATGAACTTCCTGCAAAATAAATATAATTTTTTCACTTTGTTACTTAAACACAGTAAAATTTACTTAACAAAGAGTTTTCTAGAGCTAATAAAATATTTTATAACGGTTTAAATAGTGATATATATCTACTGTATACAGCTATAATATAATTTAGGATAATTGAGCTATGTTAAATTGAATTAGCAGAAAATTCAGTCTTTTATATTTTGAAATTATGTTTCGTACCATTGACTTTTTTTCATTCTTATAATACGGGTTCCATCCTATGCTTGCGACCATTTTATAAATTTCTCCATGTAAGGACGCCCAACCATAATAAATTCCAGTATTCAAATCCTCCGGCAAAGCACTGACCACGGATTCCGGGAGATTAGCTAATATTTGCAAAAGAAAAGAGAAACGTGTAAATTTTCTGCAAATTTTTTTCCATATTGACATTCCATTCGATATCGATCCCAAACACAGATTTTGATTGCGTCAATATCAAAAAAGAAAATAAAATCTCATTGACAGTCAAATGTGGCGTCATAATAAACACGGAGTATTTTTGCATTTTTTACCTTTAAAAGAAAAGATTAAAATTATATATATGTATAAAACTGCAGATTGCCAACAAATTAAATGCAAATTATATAATTGCATGATATATAATACATTCTTGAATCATAATTGAAAAATAAATGATGAAAAATGCTGTAACGAGAGAGAATTTAAGATTCGAAGGATGCCACATTTGAAAAATTTCCTACTCATGCGGCGTTTTAAAACGAGGTACGAGAGCGCAACTTTTATCTTACGATGACGTCAACTCGGATTAACTTAATCCAGTGACTAATCCAACCGGCGGAATTTAATGTGTTTACAATCTTTAATAATTTAAAAACTTTCCGAATCTTTTCCCGAAACGCCTTCATTTAAAGGGAAATATCTATCTTAATTAAAACTCATTTTCTCGCATATTTCGATTTTCATTCAACTCGTATTTTTCCTTGGGGGAAATGCAACAAAACCCCTTGTCGTAATCGCGCCAATTGTTACCATCTAGTATTAGGACACGTCGCGCTATTGATTATTATTTAACAAAGTTCCGCCTCCTCAAGAAGTGAAAAGATAGTCTCGAGCTTTAAAAACGGGCTTTTAGTTCTTGTCTGTCGCGGCGAACGCGCCTCAACTCAATACTTGAGCATCGATCGTTTCTCGCCAGATCTGTGTATGTCAGTCGTTTCAATAAAGTTTCATCGCGAGGGACAGAGAGTTTCTCCATTTATTTTATTCCTTAAAATCTCACGTCGCGTCTCGCACGTGACAGCACCACGGCGATCTCGAGGGCGAGAGAAAGAGAAGGGGCACGATCAAGTGCGGGAAGCGCATTTGAAACAAAAAGATTTATCATTTCGTAACTGCCGGTAAAAAAAGCTTGAAGAAAAAAGCAAAAAAGGATCCTAACCTCTAGCGAGGCGTGCTTCGAACGGTACGCGCATATGACGCAGGTTTCAATCGTGACCTAAATAACGGAAAAGAATTAAAAAAAAGAAAAAAAAAACGCTTGCTCGCCGCTTTTCAACAATAGAGAGAAACTGTCTCGTCGAACGTTACTGTCGATATTGATACGTCACAATGGTCACAATCGATACTCGGCGTTTCAGCTGTTCCGTGGGGTTATAGACCGCTGGTTCGAACGTGCCACGGCGGCTGTTCGATCCGCGGGAATGGATTGTTCGCAGGACGAAGGATAGTACCTGTCGGGATGCCGAGCGCCTTCGAGCCCCTGCCGAAGCCCTTGACGATGACTCCGGACACGAAGCACGGCAAGATCTTGCTGCCCATGATCGACGACTCGTCTGTCGTCGTCCACGCGTCGTCATTCCACGCGCAGACCCGCGCTACTCCGTTAGGGACAAGCCGAGGAAAGCGGCCACGCGATAAACGCCAACGACAATTAATAACATGACGTGGCATGTGTCAAGAGTATGTCCTCGCTGATAGGATATGTCAGCGCCTATGTCAGCGCAACGTCGAACCCGATATATCGTCAATATCGCATATCGCTGCGATCGCCGCCGTGCCGGTGTCAACAACGATGTCAATAAATTTCGTTCCGTCTTATTCGGACGTGAATAACAATTAAATCTCTTTCTCCTCGGGGGAAAAACGTGACGAGATCGTCTTATGTATCTTCCTGATGTTTCGCAATTTGACCTCGCGATATCTCAACTTTCCATATAGCGCTTCGCAAATGAGAATCTATATATAAATTTGAATATCTGTAACCCTTTGACTGGCCCAAATTTTGAATGTTTACTTTCTAGACCACTGCGGAAAACCTAGACACCTCACCTCCTGTCCTAATTTCATCCTCTAAACACTTTTTAACAATTTAAGTTTAGTGCATTTATTATATAAATAAGGATATTAATTAATTTCAATATGTTATTGTTTCATTTTTACATTTCTACAAATGCTAACATTCCAGATATAAGAAGCCCGGGCAACGCCGGGTAGTTTGGGCTAATTAAATAATAAAAATTAAAATTTTTAGTATTCAAACGTAGTCTAATATTTTATATTAGAAGCGCACTCATTGGAGGCGGATTATTTGTATATTTGATCATTGAAATATTTCAATCGCATCTTCACGTTCTGTTATTCCTATACGTTAATTTTGTAAACATTAAGATATTGCTGATGCGTTGAATAACAGAATTCTAGGCCATTTTTCTATGAATATTTTACAAGTTATATCAGCCATTTGCATATCGCGTCGTAGAAAATATTTGCGACACATTGAAATGATTTAAAAAAAATCCAGTTTTTCAATAATCTTTTGGACCTTCGATTCTACAAATTGCTACAATAACGCTAGAACGTTTCTCGACGTAAGAATGCATCTGCTTTTCTCGTAATCCTCTTTATTTACTATAAAACTATGTTTTTAACAAATTGCAGATACGTGTACGAAATATCATCGCTCAAATTCGATATTCGATCGCTCGAACGACATCCAAATATGGAACGGATATAACGAAATTGCTCGTGGCCACGGAGAGGCGACGGGTACTCTCTCTCTCTTTCTTTCGTGGATTCGTGATTACGCTCCATATAATGTCCGGTATAATAAGGATAGTTTAAATTAACATAAATTAATTTAAATATCACATAGAAAATCCTGTTACAATCGAGATGCCCTCAGCGAAATTATGTCTGTAAAGGTTTTTACGTCTAATGCGATACTGATATCTTTCCTCTCCTCCTTCCTCTCCGTCCCTCTCAATTCGGATTGCGGCACGGACATTGTATACAATATTGCGACCGTGTGTCCATTTACATAGAGATCTTTTTTTTCTTTTTCAAAGAGTTCCATGTATACGTATTGCGCGCATCTGCCAAAAGTGATTACACACATACAATATACAGTTGTAAACTCGCTAGGAAAAATTCAATAAAAATCTGCATACATAAAAGTAGAGTTAAACAAAAAATAATAATAAAATTATAAGTTTCGCCTCTAAATCTTTAACGACAAATTCATGAACGTTACAGAAATTCCACGTATCCGGAAAATAAAAGAGAAATAAAATAACGTTCGAAAATAGTTCGCGCTAAATTCTTCTAGCACAACACGCTCGTCTCTCGACGAGCGTGTCTTTGGAACTGAAAAAGAAGATTGCATTCAAAAATAATTATATTATTTACACGATATATGCAGGTACATGAAATGCAAACTGCGCACGACGAGGTCTCATCTTGCCGCGTTTAACTGGGTTTTCAATCGAGGACTTTTGAACGCGCTCGATCTCGAAAGTCACGGGATGGAGAGCATTTTCTACTTCTCTATATTGCGTTTTCAGTCGAGATACTCTTGACTCCGATATCCGGCGACTCGAATTCAAAGATTAGGATCGGTATAATTTCAACGTATACATTTATACAATATCCGCTGCAGACGCGCGAGCAGGAAGAAAGCCCATTCTCGCACGTTTGTGTTTGAAATCTCTGTGTCTGATCAAATCTAGATCGATACAATTTACCGGCGAGTTCAATTTCACACCGATCGTTGCGTTTCCATCGTCATCTTATCTAAAGACCATTTTTTGGACGCTCACAGCATCCAAAAAGCGTCGAGATCTAAATTCGGCAAAATTATACCGCTTCTAATCTCTATTTGGATTCCTTATTGAAAAAAAGATGTACGATCGCGGATGAAATATTCCTATAATGCTTTGCGCATGATACGTATGAAAGAACTCCCACGGTACCATGCAAGATTAACGTCTTTATTACATTGAAACGATCCGGCAATTCTATATCCTCTTAATAACGGCGTTATTATTATTTATAGTAATATTATTATTACGATTAATTCCTTCCTTTTCCGGTCCTCTACGATTCGATTCCAGCTTTTACGGGCGTGCACATTCACATTCGCGGAGATTATCTGATTCGATGTCTTTTCGAGTTGCTGCATGCAGCGTATAAGAATTCTCGTCTTCTTTCTCTCTCCCTCTCTCTCTCTCCCTCTCTTTCTCTTCCTCTGACACGTGACGGTATTTTTTTTCTAAGAAATGCACGATTTATTTATTATTATCGATCTAATTTGGGAAAAACGTAGATTTCCGGATAGACTAAACGGATTCAAGGCATTTTGCCACATGTACCAGCTACTACATTATTACTATTACCCTATTTTCGTCATTATTCGTCTTGTTACTATATAAAAATAATACAATAACTAATAATAATATGATATTTATACCACTAATTAATGATCAGTTAGCTGAAATGGCCATTCCTCTCTCTTTCGAATAGGAATAATTAATAAGTAAATAAACTTTAAATCTATCTCCGTAATTTTAATTTCTAATATTTAATATAAGTGCTTATCATATCTATGTTCAACAAGGTATCCTCGACAATTATTAACGTAACAACCTGCCAGCAGCGCAAGGACTAAATTGTATTTTAACCCTTCCCTCTTTCGTCTCTTCTTTTATTCCTCTCCCTTCTACCTCTGGGCCGCAACAGTATAATCTTTCAATTAATCTCAAGATCAATGAGTTAACAACACAACATGTTATGCAAGCATTACTGAAATTCTGTAATATCGATTATATTTGGCAAAGCGACATGTAAACTCGCTGCTTAATCTTGCTGTTCGTAATGTATATAGGCCTCGCGCGGAGGCATATTCTTTTTTTTTTCCACAGGCATCTAGGCACAACAGATACAAAAGTAGTACACTCAGAAGTATCCAGATTTTCTCGTAGCAATCTATTATTTTTAAAATAGCACTATCATATACATCCTAAGATAACGCGCACACCGGCGTGTATTCTTCTCCTTCGTCGCGACTCATTTGTTTCTCCTCGTACTACAACGAGCCTGTAGTGTTAAAGCAAGTACGTATATATTTATATATGTATATATCATTTGCACATAAATGGAAACGCGTCGTTCGCAAGAATGTTAACACAACAAGCTCGCATAGCGCAATAGCATGGGTTACAACATCGAGAGGATACGTGTATATCTTGCGATCACATTCCCGTACATAAACTCTCATCTGTATATAAAATCTCTTGTAGAATAGAATAGAACCAAATCCATTACAACCGTAGTATCCACAATGAAATCTCGTTTACGTACATTATCCATATATTATCTTATTGTTGAGACATAGCAGAGGGTAGCACTTCAAAGCGCTGATTCGGTGATGGCGATTCTATAAGTAATGTATTTAGGGCCCTTCTCGCTTATTACATGCGCGTTTTTTTATAAATGATGCTATTACAGTTCCTCTCAACCGCAATGTTTTTTTTTCTTTCATAGTGAAGAAATAAATACAACGCATTTCTATGAAGAACGAGTTTTTTTCTGTAAGCTTCTACGAGTACCTATACACTCTGTCTTTGAATCGATATGCGGCGGGATAATAGGATTCTCCTTTCTTCTATAAAAAAAAAGCAAATACAATGTGATATACATTGAGATGATAATACCATCACTGATTTCGCACAGTGGGACTTTTAGCCAAATTAATCACGTTCTTATCGCCGTTTTCCCCCCCAGAAAGAAAGCTAACTTCCGATGTTGCTACAGCAAAACAGAGGATACATGGGAAGGGGTTGTGGTAGAGACTAGCAATTATTGGGATCTGGCGGCGTAACAAGGTATTCATCGGCGCGTTTGTGGTCGGACAATGCTCGTATTGTGTACGAATCCTGCGGTAAATCGCTCTTTCTTCGTAAAAGCGGTTTCACTTTGTTCACGTTTGTCATTTTCTTCGCCTGTGTAACAAAACATTTATTTGAGACATCAGAATATCCGGTACGCTTTATATAACAGAGCATCGAAGTAAAAAAAACGATACCGATAAATATCAATTCATACCTCATTAGCTTTAGCTTCGATTTTCTCCAAGGTAAGCGGAGTTTGATCCGGGTCACCGTCTTCGTCAGGCGGTGAGTTATCTATGTGTTGTGGTGATGTGTAAGATGTATTATTCGTTGTACCTTTATTTGCAATATTATAGTTTGGATGCCTCATCGCGAGCGCTTCCACGCGCATCCATGCTTCATCTCGCTCTCTCATGAGCTTCCGTTCTCTTTGACGCTCCTATGAAGTTTTAGATCAGAATATATACGTGATAAATAAGACTAACATTTTTTTTTGCAAAATTAAATTAACGTAGAGTTGTATAGTTTTGAAATTATAATGTCGATTTATGTTAAACCCGTCAAAATATATTTATCATTTTCATTCAATGCTAAATACAGCCGGTTAATTTAGCCATTCATTTACACAGTATACGTGTAATTGAAAATATAAATATCTGTCTGTAAATGTACCTGATAGTACTGTGTTGTACACTCGTCGAATACTTTTTGATTCATCTCCATGAAAAGTTTCAGGGCGTTGTAAATTAAACCGTGGATCGTCTTGTTCCAGTGATTGCGGGAGTTTCTATAAAAGGCTGGATACATAATCGGTAGGATGACAGAATAATTGTCCGATATCAAGGACATTATGTATTCATTATTCCAATAATAGAGAGCTCTCTCCGCCACCTGGAACAACAAGTGAGCACAAGTTAGACGTCGTACGAGACAAAATAACGAAATTGCGTACTTGCCTGGAAATGCGGTGATGATACGCATTTGGCTAATTGCCTGAACAATGGATCCATGACTTTCTGAAATTCAGCTGGTTCAATGACGTCCAAGATCTCTTCAAGCTCGTTCAAGAACATAACTTCTTTAGGGGAATGTGTTTTTGGCCAGAATTTCAGCAGATTTCTAATTACAGGTTCCGTCAACGACGGGTCCTTCTCCAGAAATTGAACGACGCAGTACGCTAGTTGTGGATGGTACACGGATAATGACTTAGCTTTGTGCAAGGGTAACAGGACTTTTAACAAAAACACCTTGTGCTCTTCCTTTAAAGGCAGAGCAAAGCCGTTTATAATACTGCAAAGGAAATGAATATCGATCAGTTGATCGGTCTTATAGATTTTATTGTGCATTACATTCTTATTTAATTTATTGTTACCTTCCTAAAATTTCAAGCAGTTCTGCGATGCCGTTGTGATGTTCCGTCTCATAAATAAATCGATAGAAAACATTATTGATCTGTTTCCTAATGTACGCCCTCAGCCCCAGGAATTTTCCATAAATCCTATGGAGGGTCGTCTTAAGGAAATCCCTCTCTCTCGGGTCCTCGGAGTCAAATAGCTCCAAGAGCTGCAGCACGAATTTTTGATCTATATAACGTCTCGCTATGGACGGTTGGAAGTCCTGCGACTCCAGCAGCCGTAAAAAGAATTCGTAGACGAGCTGCAAGTGCGGCCAAGCCGCCTCCAACGTCGGCTCATCCTCTTCCGGATCAAACTCCGCGCCATTAGGATTTGATGATGGGGGTAGCGTCCGGAATAAATTCACGGCGAACTGCAAGGATTTCCTTCTCGGTAAAATCTTTCAACTTTATTCCCTCGAGGCACTATTTTATTTAGATTATGTCTCGACACATATTTCATGTCTTCTTTGAAAATATAGAAACAATGTAAATGCTAAGAATATTCCTTATATTTTCATGTCACTGTCAACTTTATTATGCTTTTTTCTAATACTATTTTTTTGTATTATTTCGTCTGAAATAATATTTCATTAAAAAGTTCATCTCCATTATTATTTCAAAACTAATTTCTTAGCATTTACATAGTCTTGTATTTCCAATCTGTGAAAAGCTTTTACTTCATATAATTTGGAAGGTTTATTATGCTCTTACGTGTACACAGAATATATTAGAATGCCGTTCTTACCATGTTCACCGCTTCGGGATATATCGCTTCGGTAATAACGTTTTTGTTTTTGGTTACATACTCGACCATCTCGTGGAGGGCAGTGCGTTTTACCTCCTTCCATTTCAAATCCGACAACGGATCGGACTCGAAGTCGAAAAGGACGCAGCATTGCCGTAGCTTCTGTATAAAAAGTTCCTCCCGTTCGTTTCCCTGTTGTGTTTCTGGAATCAGATAGCCGGTGATTAATCGCGCGGCACTCGGCAACTTGTACCTCAAGAAGCGAGAACGGTAATAGTAATGCACCCATTAATCATATTAGCCTACAAGAATATCGATGCACGCCAATACGAAAGGGTACATTCGAATGTATATCCTTTTTGCGCTACTCATTTTTTTTCTCTCGTTTGAATCATTTGCTACAAATAGCTTTCCCACTTGCTTAACTGGCCTCCTTGACATTAGATGAGAAATGACCCTCGAACGAAGTTAAATCTTTGAAATATATAATTTATGTTTCATATATCAGCGTCAAGATATTATCGATTACAAAGTTTTTGTACTGATATATAATATATAGACATATGATTTTAATTTTGTTATAAAGATATGTATATTTTGCATATAAATATGCAGAATATTAACATTTTCCCGATTTTGAAATGACTTTGTAATTTTCAGTAAAGAGGTCAAATCAATTTAATAAAGAATATCCGATAAAAATGAAGATATCCAGAATGTAATTTGCCACTGATAAAAATGCAGCACGCGATCAAAATCAATATTCTATTCGTTTCTTTGAAGACTCTGATTTACATAGACAGTTATTTCAGATGTTAATCGACCTCCACTTCTTAATACTCGGCACGAAAAGCGTGCCGTCGCAGGATTGCCATTAGTTAATATATGTACAAGCTATAACCGCTTGCGTCAGCAGCAGACTTTTGATTTTAAATCTTAAAAGAGCTCGGCTTTTTCCGATTAATTGAGTGGGTTCTGAAAGAAGATCGATAACGACCTTCAAAATATCGCGACTGCAACTGAGTGGCATTATTTATCGCTTGCTATTCCTAGCAGTCTCTGTAATAATAATAGGAGTAGCGATTGCCGAATTCACCACAGGTCGACTATTTCATGGACATCATTCACGAACAATCAAATATCAAATACTAATATAAGATTTACAAAAATAAAAGAAACGCTAAATTAATCCTTCAATGATTTTATTTCGATATAATCCCTCGTTTCGTTAATATCAGACAATCGGGCATAGAAAAAAGTGCATAGATTGATTCTACAATAAATTCACGTGTGATAACAAAAGTTTAAGAGTTAATCGAATCTGTAAAAATGATTTGCAGAACTGATTTAAGCGACGGAGAGCTTTACCGATTAGCAGAGGTTGCAAAGGTTGATAGTGCAGCGCGAACGTCACCGGGTAACCCTTGCTCGAATCCTGGGGCAAGACCGTCGCTAAAGCAAGACCCTGATGAAAGCTGGGACTTTTGGGCAGAGCACCGCCCAGAGATGGGCCAATTCCACCCACGTGAACCATCGCGAAATATTGTGTTCAGTACCGATTTTACACTCGCACTTTATTCATCGACGAGTGTCTCTTCGAATGATTCGAATTGGGCAGCACAGGTTCTGTTATTCACGTATCGTCGTCTCGGTAACTTCTAGAATTTACACTTTGAATTCACACACTCGAAAGGATCGGTTTTTTCCTGACGTCAAAATCGCGATCAATAATATTCCCTACTTCCTCTGCGATTTCGCTCTTTTCATGAAGCTGGCTTAAAATTTCAATTATAAAACACTGATAATTTATTTAAATAGCAGTAAATTGAAGATCAAACAAACATCGTTTAACCGAATGTTCGATTGCAGAGAGTTTCTCATTTGAGAAATGAAAATAAACATTCCACGTAATGTTGGTGTATATGACGGTTTACACAAACATATTTAAACAAGGTTTGTATACGATAAATGATTTCCCTTAAATCAGCAATAGTCTGAATTCCGCAAACATGTAGAAATGCCGGTAAAACATAAACGTCTGTATAACTTTTCTTTCCTAAATTATCTAATTATTCTCTATTGCATAAATCACGTATGCATTTGAAAAATATTATATTAAAAGAAGAAAAAAAATTATTAAAAATTATTTTCCACAATCGTCAATTTTCGCGGATTTTTCTTATGTCCTAATTATTAGGTAACTTTAAGTCGCTTTAAGTTCACTTATTCACAGCTTTGCCAATTTATACGGTCCCGGATTTACGGACTTAACCGGCTCGAACGGAAACCAATTTCCGGAGAATGTTTTTATTACATAACTCGCAATCATCCGCCAATTTACTCGGCGAAATGCGACGTATAACTTTATTAAGCTACGGCGATTGTCGGCCTTCGACAAGTCACTTTTACCAGCTTCCCACGTTATTTTCCGCATAGCATAGCGCGAAGGAAACGCGCGTGGTTTTACGCGTTTTGCCAAACCATGCAGAAACGTAACTGTACTTTTAATCCAAAGCAACGCGAATCGTCTGTTACGTTGCACAGTTGCGAGAAATATTTTCGCACAAAGCGAGTTTGATAGTTTAACGTAAGCAAATATAATATATTAAATTATTGTATATACATAAGTTTTATAAATGCACAAATTAATAATGCTAAATTATATGCATGAAATTTGTTAGAAATATCGTTTTCTATTAATATTAATAAATCCAATTAACTTCCTGTATAAATATATTTAATATTATCTATATTTCTATAATATATAACATCAAGCATAATCAATACTTTATTCAAGTTAATGAAGCACTAAATGATCTGGTAACGACGAATCATTTAACTGTTACGATTCTAATAATATTTTCAGCTTATTATTTCTTATTATTTCTTAGTTATATATAAAAATTCTACGAATCTTCATTCTATACTCAATTCAATTCTACTACAATTCCATTGAAATTCCATCACGTATTTTAATTAAATCCATGATTCCACATATAACGTCAGCGCATATTAAGATTAAACGTATTAAAGCTCGTATTAAAAAGAGAGCTCTTATATTATTTTTCACTAAATCCAAAACACGAGACTATTTTTCTAAAACTCACCAATCTTTGTAAAAATCTCTTCAAGCTTAAAATTCACTAACTTTTATTTTCTCAAGTTTCTAAACCCCAAGACTCACCAATTTTCGACAGAAAGCCTTTTAATCAAAGGAATTTACTAACTTCTGATCGGAAAATTTTTATTTTTCAACTCATCGATTTAGAATTTTCCCCACCTCTTGTTCCGTTCAATATCCGTTACCCTTTTCAAACCGGTTATAAATTATTCAATCACCAAGCGAATCATTTTCATCAAGTATTTCCGATATTTTCTACGACATCCATCCGAAATAATTCACTTTTTCCAGATGAACGACCTCAAAGTTCTCCGAGCTTCGAGAGTCGGTCGCGCCCGCCCTTAACCGGATTTTCTCACGAATTCGCGATAACAGCCCCCGCTGACACCACCGGAGTCCGTCCGCCGTTAATTCCCGCAGTTGTTTAACGCTCGCAACAATCTGTTGCTTCGTCCGTGTCAATCGATCGGGTCGGGGAAGGCAAGGCTCTTCTCGGCCTTTCTCTCTTCGGGGTGTTCGGCGCTGCGAAGCCACCCCCGTGAAACACCGGCGAGCACTAGCGGCGCGTTCTCGCGGGTCCCCGGAACCCGGTGACCGCGTTCGCGAGGGGCGGGAGGCGGCGCGAGGAGGGGGACCGGCGGGGTGAGATTCGCCTAAGTGGCACCAGGTTCAACGAACTCGAGGGTCCTCGCCGGGATCTCGCGGGTCATTTCTCGATCGGTCACGGGGTCGATACAACCCCCCTCGCCGAGATTCTGTGCAGGTGGAGCCGCGGCCAGGTGGGGCCGCTCTCGCGACCGGGGGTGCCGGCGCGGGTGTTCGGGCGCTGGTCTCGGAGCGGTTGGAGGAGAGGGGATCAGAAAGGGATGGCCGAAACGGGGACGAGAGGGTGAAAGAAGAGAGGGGGCGGAACTCCCGACTGTTTACGTTGGGAAAACGGGGAATCATGGAATCCCGGGGCGCCTGCGCGACCCTCGTCGCACGCAATCGATAGACTCTGACGTAGGAGGTAGTCTCGCAACCTCGATTGACCGGCATTACATTGGGAAAGGGCAGGCGGACCAATTTGTCGTTGCCCTTCTCTCCTCTCCTCTCTTCTCCTCTTCTCGCTACTCTTCGCCGCTATCTTTTTCTTATCCAACTTCCCGCTGTTTGTTTTCTCATCGTTATACTTCAGCGCGTTCGATCTTTGTCCTGATCCAATTGTTCAATTATGACCGCTGTGTTACATGCGAACTAGTTTCTTGCATAATGATTTCTTTATGTTACTTGTTGATCAAGCCAATTCCAGATTGCAAGCTATTTGCAACAAAATGAGTATGACGTACGTAAACATATGCTCGAGATATGACATACTTCCTTCTTATTTTTATCACCAATGACACAAGTGTAAGAAACGTAAAAGATCGCTAATACCATTTTATTTGATCTAACAGGAATGGTAGCTGTCAAGTGGAATTGATTAATCTTACTTTCGTATCGCAAAAAGAATTTCATTCATCTCAAGGACACATTGTGGTTCTAAACCAAGTTTAGGATTAGCGCGCATATCTTACAATTTATGATATACATTTCTGGTTGAATGACTCACCGGACAACAGCGGCAATTTCTGCAGTTCCCGATTTTTCGATATGTTAAACCTCGAGCTGCTTTGCCGTTTATCCTTTTTGATTACGGGTCCACCGGGTTGATACTTGATTTTGTTGATAAGTGTAGGCGGAGGCGGTGCATTGCCCGCAGGAGGTCCCCCGGTCACCTTGTTTGCCTATGGTAGATAAAAAAATATTATGACAAAAAAAACTTGTAGATAATTAATGAATGGACAAACAAAGTAATTATGATAAATTTTAGATGAAAAAAAACTATTATTCTTATTGATCATTTATAATAACTATTGATTATAAATGAAGAGCTCTTTCTGAAGTCAATGACATATGTGATTAAAATACTTATTTAAAACCTTTTTATAATTTTTATACATCCGCTTTTGTAATATTTTTTATAAATGTAATTAAATAACTTTTGATCTATAAATAATGTCCAATCCATTCTCAATCGAGAATTAAGAAATCGCAATGTGTATTAAATCTAAATAGGAGTCCGTGATTAGTGATGTGCTTAATTCGACTCGGTTATAGGTGAAAAATCGATCATTCGTTCGCTGATCAGATTAATATTAAATAAATGGAACGCCAGAAAGCGATATAAATTTTCCGCGATCTATGGCAAGATATACTCTCTATGCACGTTATGCGTGCAAAAACTGAACGTGATCTCTTCATCTCCTTATCAGTATTGGAAAACGGAATGCCCCAAGTTCACGCTCATGTCCCATATAATTTTTTTTTACCAATAAAAAATTAATGTTTTTCTTAATAAAAATTTCGGAGCACAAATAATTTTTCAAATATAATAAATTGGGAGTATAAAGAAACTTTCAATAAATAAAATTTTCCAGATCCACAATGTATAGTCTCTAATTAGTTTTAAATAACTTTAATTAAGTGCTTAATTGGTAAGACATTTAATATTGAATACCTCGTAAATACCAATTGTAAGAACTAGAAATAAGCAATGTTCGTTGTAGCATATTGTTTAATTCTTTAGTGCAAATTTAAACAAGAATAATTTATTTATGTCAAGAATTGTCCAAAATTAGAAAACTATGATTTACTTCTTAGAATTTTTATATATTGGAAAATAAATGAGAGAATATTGATCTATTAATTTCATTTCACGTAAAATATATACTTCAACGAGAATTCTAATTAAATGTAACATTGTAGTGTAAGAAAGAATGACCCTTAATAATCTCACTATATAAGACATGTATGTATTGCATACGTGATTGTTAATCACTTGACTTGCTGAGCGATAGACGCGGCCGTGAACATCGCGGAAAAAACACGTAAACGAACAGAGAGAGAGAGCGTTTCTTTTAATAATCTTCGATCACAGTTAAGTAGGTTATTCGAATGAGGAAAGTTGTGTGGGCAGAAATGCTTTGATTTATCTTGGATTGCGGTTAAGTCGGCCGAACAAGTGAACCACATTGGCGTCTCATAATGAATCCAATTCAGATCCTCTTCTTCTCGCTTTATTATACAAACCGACCAACTAGTTACGCGAGCTTTCATCATTTACTTTCTCGATCGTTCCGCTTTCGGAGTTTTCGCGCCTAACGTCGAATGTCTAAATTAGCAATTACCGACTTTTTCAACGTATTCTATATCGGCTGTATCGAGAGGCCAGACGAAAGAGTTCCTTAACGCAAATTTGAAGTAATCAAAAAGTTTGATGAAAAAAATCAAAAAGTTTGATCAAAAAGTTGACATAAAAAATCAGAGAACTATGACCTATAAAAATTTTCAGATATCGGAAAACGTGAATTACGAAATTGGGTTTATAATTAAACTTTATGTAAAATATATATTATTCGACGAGAGTTCACTTCGGAGCTCGTTCGTCGAAATATCTAACGTTGAATGCATGATAAAACATTGCGTAATCAATAACGCATCTGCGCAGTATGACAGGTAATACACATACGCAAGTCAAACGCATTCTAAAGAGGTGTAGAGAGTAAAACGGAATGTGTGTCCGCAGATTGCAGATAAAAATAGATGTAAAACACGATCTGATGAACTATTACGAAGCTGCCGTCACTCGTCGCGTTGTCGGTCTGTGTTTTCATGTCGCCGGTCGCTGTATCTTCAGAAGAATATGCGCATGCGATCACGTACCGCTTGATAAACAAAGTTGACGATCCTATACATCGCCTCCCAGCGAGACCCAGTATTTACTATTGTTCCGAGAGAGCTTAAAAAGTCCATAAAACGCGCGACATAAACGTGCGATAATGCGGAAGTGGTTTTGCGGAATTGTCTCGCGCGACAAAGAGATTTAACAAACTCAAAAGGTGCTTTTATAAAAATATTGTTTTCAAAAAATAACGATATATTACAAATTAAAAATATTAAATTAAATATATATATCTCTCTTATTAAAATAATAATGTATTATAATATATTACAGATTAAAAATATATTCCCCACTAACAAATCCAAAGTTACGTTCATAATATAAGAATTTTTATAGCATTAATCTTCAATAATACAGAGTATATTAAAAACTGTTCTACTTTTGCAGCGTGTATTACATTTTGAAGTAAATTAATTTTTGTCAATTGATCGGTTTTGCAGCGCATTATGGCTTATAACGAATACTTTTACGCGGCGAAAGGTCGGTCAGTGTTGAAGTTCACGGTCAAAAATCATCAACTAAGTATTGCAGCTCTTGTTCTACCAAGAATTTCCGCCTGAGGGACCAAGGGACGTGTAACATGCATTCTTCCATCTTCCTAATGGTATTTCTCTCATTCATCACAAGTCATTCATTATTTTGAATGAATGTGATGTGGTAACCAGTAACGTAAAAGAGAATGATTATGTGCGAAGTACATATACCGTTTAATATACAGTTGCCCTGTTTTTAACGAAATGATTCAAATTCTAGTTTCTCAATGTCTATTTTTTGTCTCGTTAACCTACCGTTAGATTCACTCTCTTTTAAAAGTATTAATTTTTATAAGTATTAATTTTTTAAATTAAATATACATTAAACTTGATATAATAAGCATGATATTCATAGAGCTATAATACGCGGAATTAAAAACCTATGTTTACTTCAGGATTCACGTAATCACTGTTGAAAATACAAGTTGCAATACGTATTAATTTCCTGTAAAATATTTTTTTAATATTTTCACATATATAAAAATGTGTGTGAAATATATGCGCGAAAGAGGTATAAAAAATAAAGTAATAAAAATATGTAACATATGCTGAAACAGTAGTACTAAAAAATTAAAAGATTATATTATTGTTATAATAAAGTCAACGTTTAATTACAAGTCGAATTTAATAAATCAAAATTTCACATTGTATGTATTCTTTTAATTTAATTTATCAGTCTATAAACAAAGGTTAATAAGAGTTAAGAAAGTCATTGATCTTCGCACCGAAAGGCTCACTGATTGCAACGCGATAATTTTTGATATTTTCTAACTTGAACACGTTCAGTGTATTATACTTTTATATGTCATTTAGAATTATGACGATACTCTATATCGCTACAAAATTAATGCGCATTCGATACTGATCGCGTACGCAGTTATCTATAAACGTTTTATTTTGCTCAATCGAAACTATGTGCTAAAAAGCTGTCCTATCTTTAGTTATCGTATCGGTCACATCTGATAAATATACGCTGATAAATCAGAAAAGATCTTGCTTTCCAATCGTCGCCCGTTAAATTGCGCGAGCAAGTGCAAAATAAAAGAATTATCTTCTTAGAAAGAAATTCAAGATAGCACTTCGGTACTTGACAATTGATAATGTCAAATGGTATTAAAGTAGGAAGTTCATGCGATTATTGCAATAAAGTCGCGTAAATAAAAAGTGACAGTTCCCAACGTTGCGTGAATATTAAATAAAACAATAAAATGCTAATTGATGTACGGATTACGTGTTTAATCGTGACGAAGAAAGTAGTAAACAACTGCTATGTATAAAGTTAATATCTTGCGTGAAAAAGTATTTATTCCTGAAAACGTGTATCATATCAAAAAGATAAAAGTTTTTATTCACACGACCACGAATCGATATAGTTAAACTAATCGCACGATGACAACGCCAAGATATCCACACTGAGAAAAAAATATTTTAATAAAAAAAAATATTTATTAGGTGGCTCCTAATAGCATTATTTACTTACTTTTTACACATATTTATTTAGAATTCGATATTTTTATTTAATTAAAATTTAATTGAAATAAAAATATCTAATTCTAAACAAATATGTGTAAACAATAAGTATAAATAATGCTATTAGGAGCGACCTAATAAATATTTTTTTGGATTTTTTTTCAGTGCACAGAAAATAATCAAGTTCTTCCAAATTTCATAAGCTTCTTCCAGATTCAGCCTTCAGTTCTTCGCTTTACAATCACATATGCGACAAATTCATGTAAGGACGCAACATTTAACTTTATTGAATATTTGATAAGAGGACGTATCTCGTCCGAAACCGGTGCTGTGAGAAACCTGCCTTTTTCCTGAACACGTTCGCGAAGGCGAGCCCGCTCAACGTCTGCATTTTACTCTGCATACCAGCGGGCGACTTCCGGAACAGCGATCGGCCCAGGAAGGACATTCACTATCGGCACAGGGCGGCAGCCAGCCGCGGCAGGAAAAACGGTCTCGCGGCGTCGCGGCGCAACATGATTCTCGCATTCGCGGATCACTAGCCTTCTCACGGGACGAAGAGGATCTCAATCACACAGCCGTCGAACAGCCGATCCACTTCACGACGTACTACCGGGAATATCCGCTTTCTTCCCGCCGGCACCTGAGAGCGCATCCCCGAATGCATGCCTGAGAATATCCGCGCGAAATAACTCGAGGAACGTGCCGGGAATTTTTTTTCCGTTTCAGGTCTAAAGTGTCAAACCGATTTTCCCGTCATTCAAGTGCATCAGCCTGATATCTCGCGGAAAGGTTTTCTCCAGAAAAAAAGAAGAAAAAAAGAAAGAAAAAACGAGAAAGACTTACACGCTCGTATAGACGAAAAGTCGACTCTCGAGCTACAATCTTCACTCGATCTAGGACGTTCGTGGCGTCACACTGTTGTAGTAATTGTTACAAAAGTTCGGGTTCGGTGATCGACGAGATAAACTATTTCAGCGATTAATAAGTGAGATAATAAGCGGCACGTGTGCACGCGCGCGCGCGATCTATTTGCACAACAACGACAGATCCCCCTTCCCTGCCCCGCGACCAATTTACGCGCGAAAAGGCGGACGGGTGTATAAAAATAAGCCGGTGGAAACGAAGTATATCTGGGCGCGAGAAGTGGGCCTCCCCCTTATCCAAGATTAGGAAAAGCCGCCCGCCGCACGCTGCCCGCAGTCTCCATACTGGCGCTTCGGCACACGCGAAGTATTTTAGTCGACAATCGAAAGTGACGAGAGAGTAAATATTATCTTTCTGTCGCTTGGCCGTCACGCGATGTTTTGTAACTCAATACTCCCGAGTACCCATCTTTAAAAAGAAGCCTGGACGTGACGTAACTCTTTGCAGTTAACACCGATAACGTATCGCTACATTTTTCAAGAATTTCATTTTTCGTATTGAACGTCCTCCCCCTGGATTCTCTGTATCGCGTTGTTGTCGAATAAATTATCCAAGATTACTAGTCGTATCAATGCATTATTGCATTATTAATCGTAACTTGATATTCATAATTACGTAACTTTGTATAGTTGCACGGTTTTTAATTTACTTCCTTTATTCAGCGTAATTCTGCAAGTTTACAAGTCATATCTTCCGCGATCGTGAACAAAAGCATATATATATATATATTCCGGCAGATAAACAACTTTCGCAACGATAGACCTGTCTCACCTGCGGGATCGAGTTTTATTTATCTCTCATACATAAAACATCGACTAACTCATGAGCGGCTCCGTGTCGAACGCAAAAGAGATCGCGCGAGTCGCGAGAAGCGGGCGAAAAGCGGGCGTTACCTCAGAGCCTCGTGGAACACGGGAAAATTCGCGGCATCCGCGCGGGCGAGGGGATATAAATATTCTCCACGCGGATGTCCAGCGCGGAATATTCTCGTGGAGGAGATCTCCGATCTGAGTTCGCGCGCGCGACGACGAAGACGACGACGACGCAGCACTCGGGGATCGCACTACTCGCGGACGCGTCGCAAAGGAGGAACGTCACCTCTTCGTCCGATTTTCGTCCGAGAAATCGCCGACGACACTGTTTTCTCTCGCGCGCGCGATCGCGAGAGAGAGTCCCTCCGGGCGAGAACTCGCCTGTCGCGATGCCAGCGGCCGAGAGACAGAAAGAGAGAGAGAGAGTGAGAGAGAGAGAGAAAAAGAGAGAAAAAAATAGATAGACAAGACGTCGCGTAAGCGGAAGCGAGAGACGCGAAGCGACAGCGTCACCGACGTCGCGACGCCAAAGATCGTCCGAGAGGCGCTTCGCGGAGTCGGAGTCGAAGTCGGAGTCGGAGTTGGAGACGGCGACGGCGACGAGAGCGCACTGTCAGAGGCGAGCGGCAGGCGTGTACTCGTGACCGAGAATCAAGCAGCAGCCAGCCACTTGCGACACTCTCGTGTACACACACCGCAGGTTTTGGCGAGCGCGATCGGCTCTCGCGGCACGCCGTCGCCGCCGCCGCCGGCCGATCGACGCCGATCGTTCAAGGCCACTACGTACGACCTTAACCCTCACGCTAATTACGAGAAATTACGTTTCATCTCTTCGGCGCACATGCACGCCTAGCCGATCGCGAGTTCTTCCCCGACGTTTTCGTTATACGATCGGCATGAGAGGTTGGGAGAGATTTTGCTCCTGGACCAACCACAGGCTCTCTGGACAGCGTATAGGTGGGCCACGGAAAATTTTGGGACAAAATACTTCTCACGTTATCAAATGACATAACTACTTAATATTCGGAAAATATTAAAACTTGAAGACGCATAGAAATACAACCAGTTTTAAGATTTCTCGAGTTTTATATTAAAAAGAAGGATTTATTTTTATGTTATTTAAAAATACAAAGTTGAAAAATGTTTACATTTATTTTTACTTTGTTTAAAAGCTCTTTTTTAAAGCGGCCTTTTCAAATTTGTTGGAATATTTGTCATGATAATAATTGCCAATAAACCGGTTGACATGCATCTTTATCCGTGCGATATATTGTTGCACAATATTAACAGAAATACATGTCGATAGAGCAATTATGAACGCGGCGAGGTCCTTTGTCCACGCCGGGCTCGCTTCCCTGTCATACTTCATTTCCTAACAATGATGAAGCGGCTTTAGGCGCCGCGTGACGAAACGACAATGCCCGGTTACTATTTCTGAATACCTGTGGGAGGTGCAACGTATGCACGCGTCGTGCATGCGAAAGTCATGCAGGAACCGCCGTCGTAGTCACATGCGGTTATTAACGTGCGACAGAGGCGTCATATATTTTGTCACATATTTTGTCAAGAGACAACCAATTGTTATTACTTATTGAGCCCAATTCGAATTCTTCCTATCTATAACCCGCGACGGGATTTTAATCTTGAACGTGTAACGCAATAGATTTCTAAACGTATCTTAAAACATTTTTTAAATTTTTGTTTTATAAAATAAAATAATATATAATGAAAGACAGAAATATATGAGAAGCGTAGCAATCCAAAAAACAACATTGTACATAAATAATTGTCAAAATGGTCACAAATTAAATAATTTAACTTGTTTAAATGTAAAACAGAATTAACTCTCCATCTGTATACGTTTTTTTAATGTATAATATGTGAGTCTGTCACGTTTAAGGCTATTTTTCCTTACCTCAAAGTATTTAGAAAAATTTTAAAAAATTCACAAATCTATCTACATTGTAGTTGACGATTTTATAGTTATTTTGATAATCACCGTTTATTTAATATTTTCTGGCAGGCTTGCAAGTTTTACAATTACGAGCAGATATTATTTTGGTTCAAACGTCGTAAATTCACGTATACAGACGGAGGGTTAAGTGTCATCTGACAAGACTAAACAATCGGTTACTATATTTATATAAGCAAAATGGACGTCCACGCAAAAACAACGATAACCCACATCTCTATGTAAATAATCTTGTAATCTACCATCCATTTGATCCATTTAAATCCATCTATCCGTGCGATCCATCTGAAATTCTCGCGTAAGGTGTCTGTAATAGTTGTGTTGTTTCTGCTTGTTATCAATCACTTCATCATAATGCATTTCATAATTCAGCCGTGCATCGAAAAGAAGCTAATTTTGTTTTACAATTTTACCTTACAATTTTCTTAAATATTGTATATGTGTTGGAGCTTTTCTTGTATCTTACATAATCAAACTCGACCCAGGAAAAACACTAAACAATTCTGTCGTCACAGCGTATACATTATTCGACATGTATTAATTTCCCTTTATTAATAACATCCTCTCCATTGTTAAAAGTGTACACTTTGCGTAAAAAAAGACGATTGTTAAAAGCGTTTCGTTATAAATGTGTTGTTTCGCAGAGACTAACGCTTGCTAATGAAGATTACTGTCCGATATCCGGATATCGCGGCGTCCGCGTCAGCCGTACGAGTTCTTCTCGGTTATTCGATATTTACGGGATATTTACGGAGCATCGCTCTATCATTTCCTGGACATCGTGCATCGTGCCCGGCAATCGTCCGTAAATCGATTATCGCGATTCTTTGACATCGCGCCACGACCTATCCGCAATTTGTCATCGCGTTACGGTGTGACGTGTGCTAAACCGGCGGCCCATTATCGCACGTCAATCTAACGAATAATCGTGTATATAAGCGGCCGCGTTATATATCGCGGCACGGAAGTCGATTGCGGTTTCACGGGAAGCATAACTTTTCGTCGACCTGACGCTACAGTTATGCCGGCCGTGGCCTATTTTCGGAAACGATCGTGGAATTCCAAGGTGAAAATATGCTGTTACACGAGTGACGCCTCACACGGATCATCGCCCTTCCGCGCGACCCTTAAATGTGTATCTATGTCGACACTCCCACGCTCGATCTCTTACGTATTTTATGAATTTATTCTCAGGCGGTTAGTCAATTTTTAATCGTCATATCGGAAAAATCATTTAAACCTCTCGGTCCCTTGAGTCCCTTCCGTTGAATGAAGCTCGAGTCGCCGTAATGGATGAAATTTGTACGTTCTACTTGTCTATGCGTCAAATATTTTTCTATGAGTTTTTCCTGATAAATTTTTTACATATTTGGCATCTATAGTATAATAAAAATCTCAGGTCAGCCCATTTTTCCTCCGAAACTGACATTAAATTAATTTCTTCGTGATTACTCTTTTAAATCCTAAATCCCAAATCCTTAAAAAAGAGCACTTCACACGCGCAAGTGTATATTATCTGCTTCTTGAACGTGACCTCAAAATCTTACGCTATTTCGAGCATAACTCTGCGGCAATTCCTCTTTTACTTGTCGACTCTCTCGCTACAAAATCTCGCAACTTTCGAAAAAGGCCGTAGCTAATTTCGCGCACCTGGACCCTTCGGTAGGCCGCCGAAAAAGCTGTCGACGCGAGAGACACGGAGGTGCCATGAAATGCACCATCGGTATTCACTATTATTAGCACGCTTTCTATTTGCACGTCGCTCGAAATAAAGAGAGAAAGAGAGAGAGACACACAGACAGACACAGTTCTCCACCGTATGGCTGGTTTTATCGGGTAGGCGGGACAACCAACGAGATTTTTTGTGTGATCTCATTAACGAGAGCGTTGCACACGCCGCAAGGGAAAAAGAATTCACAGTCCCCCGAAAATAAGCACGGTGCGACGAAAAGTCACATGCTTTCGCCACGTCCCGAAATTCCGATCGGTTCCCTCTCGACGTGATATCTTGCAAGGCAAATGTTATCTCTATCCCGATTTCGACTAAAATATCCAGCCACGAATAATCGCCGAGTTAAAAATGATCGGATAATGGCTGCCGTTAACGTAATTAAAGAGACATCTTCATATTGAACGCAAAGAAAATCGAAGAAATGTTAAATTATGTATAATCACAGTTACCTTTGCTAGAATTTACGTTATTATTGCCGCTTGTATATGTTGTATATTTTATTTATATTATCACGCTGCGTAGCCTTGTCGACGCTATTTACGTCGATTTCTATCAATGCAGGTTAACTTTAGTCTCGATTTAACTCACTTCTTACCCTTTTCTAGTTCTAAAAGTTAGACAAAAATAAAAAGTGAGTTTAAACCGAGATTAAAGTTAATCTGCATCGGCGGAAATGGACATTAGTTGCGTAGCGCGGAAATTTTCGGCAAGGATCGCCTCGCTCGCAAAATTACGCGTAAAAGCGCCACGACAAAACGGCGGTCGTGTGTACACATATCGGTCCAACGCATATATATGTATGCGATATACAAAGTGTTCGTGTTAATGCGCGGCGCAAATTGCATCACTTCGAACGAACGTACAAATGCGATTTCCACTCTAGCGCATCGCGGCCGCATCGCTTCGAGAGAGAGAGAGAGAAAGAGAGCTCGCCGTCGTATAATTTTTCCTGCGACACTTATTTTAGAAATACGTCGTGTCACGTGTGCGCGACCGTCGACGTCGTCAGAAGTCGGCCAACGCTGCCAAAAGAAAGAAAGAAAGAAAGAAAAAAGTATCGCGTGCGTGCGTACGTACCCGAACTGGCCGTTGACAAAATTCGTGTCTCAATAACCAGAGCACGCGAGCCTTTAACTTTTTCGCACGCATCTCACACTCACAGTTCAAGTTTGACATGATCACGTGGCGACGAATGCGGCGTCAAACGATAGCACAAGGATATCCACAAGAACGTGCGCACGCAGGTACGTGTGTACATACGTACGTTTGCGTCGTGCGTGCGTGTGTGTATGTGTATGTATGTGTAACATGTTTGGCATCGGATCAATGCGTGCTTCATGCCATTGATTGCCTCTGTATAATCATCGACGGGAGGAGTGAAAGAGGGAGAAAAGTTCGGTAGATCTATGATATATCGGGACGATTCTGCAATTATTTAAGATTTATGGAAATCCTCGTCGACTTCCTCGAGATTGCTTATTCATCGGCGATCGATCTGTGACAAGCGCTATTATTTTGATAAATGAGTAATTACGTTGTCTAAATAACATAAATCGTAAAAATAAAGTAGAGTAAAAGAGCGCGATCTTCGTTTCAGGATCTTCACGGCTGAACAGAATGAGCGAGGCGAAACCACGTATGTTAACGATGCAAATAAACATTTACGTAACGCCACGTTATCGTTACGTGCGTAAAATTAACATGTGACATTGATCCTATCGATATATCGATGAGATACGAAACGTCAAATTAATGCGCGATCGGAGATAAACTTAATGTTAATAGAAATTATGCTAACGAATTATGCAAAGCGGTTTTCCTGCGCAGCTGAATTTTAATATTATTATTCCGCATAAAAATTTGCATCATATCACTGATACCAGAATAAAAAAATCAAGATGTTAATTTGTGAGGAAAATATGGTTCAGTTAAAAAAACGCAATTTGTTACGGTATTAAGTTATGGTATTAAAAAAAATCATGTAAACGTGCTAATATTGAAAGTTGAAAAATTATTTATATGTTAAAATTATATAGATTAAAGCTGCATTTTCGATAGATTGCATATAAAATAGATTGCTGAAATGAGTTGAAACTAAATTTACGACATAAATGAAATGTTATGACAGTAATAAATATATTTATATATTTCACTAGCTAATGGCATTAGACTGCCACGAGGAAATAATTAATGCCTAATTGCCATTGTTTTTATCGTACCTGCCTATTTGTATCAATACGCATGAGTGGCCGTGCCTTTTTGTAACATTATACGGCGTTCGTTACGAATCGAGATGGACAAAAGTCGATCACTTAATCAATGGGTCTGTTTTCCATTGTTGAACTGGCTGCACTAGTTCAGAGTTTATCTTTTTTACTACATATTGGAAGGAAAAAGATAAACTCTCAACTAGTGCAGCCAGTTCAGGAACAGAAAACAGACTTTATGTTCCACGATTTTTTTGTTAAAAAATAGATTGTTTTAAATTTTGTAAATTCCTACATTGATGATGTTTTGGTTCGATGCTATTAAATTTTGTTATTAGATTTTACTAACTTTATTGACACATAGCGAACATGTAACATTATTCGATTAATATGATATATATGTCTATTCCTTTTAAATTTCTTAATACTTGTTCTCAATTATCGTATCTGAGTCACTGTTTAAAATGACTTTGACAAAATTCCGATTAATTTAATGGACATTAAATGGAGTTAACTCATCAAAAAATATCTACAATATTTTATTACTATGGATAGAATTATTAATTTTTTGTTACACTGAACTTTAACGTGAAAAAAAAAAATTAAATTGAAACCAACGAATTATACAATTGGAAATTTTGCTGTAATCTAATTGAATGAATTACGAATTAGGTGAATCAAATTTTGGTCAAAGCTGTTTTTAAATTTTGTTTGTTTAATATTAAATAACTATAAAAATAAAAATTACGAGTTAGTCGATTATTATTAATGTTTTAGAGATATTGTCGATTATAAAAAATCGTTATTTTTTGAAATTGATTATTTGGATGTCAACATTGTCCGTCCTTAGTTATGCTTCGTTGCAGGTGCGCCATCTAGCCCGGAATTGTTTCAACCCCGACGCGATAACTTTCGTTATCTGACTGGCTCGACGAATAATGCTCGCGGTTAAAACGCTCATTGAACGATATCAATCATAAGTGCCTCGCTGCAAGCACAATACATTTCTAGCTTTAGCCGCTACTAAATGTATTTATCGCCCTGCAGTAAGAAACTATACCAAACACGAGAGAGAAATGCGGCGACAAAAATACTCTATCGCTATATTTAAAAAATATACAATAAGATTCATAATATAAAAACAATCTAGAAAATCTAGTCATTCTTCTCGCTAATTATTTTTGGACAAATATCAATATTATCTTTTTGATACGGTGAAATGTACCTGATTAGGATGTTATCTGTTTAAGGAATAGCAGTAAAATAATTGTTAATTCGATATAAGCTTATTAACGATCGCTTAATTAACGATATTAAGAATACAATACTTCTGTCATCGTGCCACTGTGGTATTTGAAAAAGATACCATATCAAATTTGCATCAAATTGTAGCACAAGGATGAGTCATTCACAATTTGCTACTTCTAATCAATGGCTTACATTCTTCGTACGAACCTGAAGGAAGTTATATAACTAAAAAAACGAAATATATATTACAGATATCATATTTTGTTAAATCGTGCACGATATTCAACGCGTACAGTATGTTATATAACTAAAAAAATGAAATATATATATTACAGATATCATATTTTGTTAAATCGTACACGATATTCAACGCGTACAGTATGTTATATAACTAAAAAAAACGAAATATATGTAACAGATATCATATTTGTTAAATTATACAAGATATTCAACGCGTACAGCACGATTGTATTTCACGTCTATTTTAATCTCCACGTTTTGCGTGAATCATATTCCGTATATTTATAAACTATAAAGCATCCGTGAAAGAAAATAGATTTCGACCACGAAACTGTGTTTCTCTTTCGCTTCCTGCATTCACATTGTCACACTCCAGACTGATAAATTATATTTCTTTGAAGTGATGTTATCTATAACACAACAGTACACTATTATATTTATAATATTGGTTATATAAATATTCTTTCACAATCAATAGTCACAGCCATATAGAAGTTGCAAATCATATTAATACAAATTATATAAACAGCACGTGGTATGCGAAATCGATGAATCTATCAGTGCAGAGAACAAAGTACGCTGTTATTTCTTGAAAACGGGTACACCACATGCTCCGACAATCAATGTACTACAAAGATAGCCCAGTTATAGAGATAACTTCTTCCGATTTCTTCCAACACGGACCTGCTTTACAATTCTTTGGATAAGCAGGTCCGTTGAATTCTTTATAATTTACAATTCTTGAAATTCACGAGACGCCGAGTATCCGGAGTCCAAGCGTCCGACGGCATCCGGTGCATACGCACGCGACGTACCCGCGTCCGCGGTAGCGGACATAAAGCAAGTAAAAGATGCAAGATGTCGGGTCGGCCATGCGGCCGACCTGTCACCGTTGGAGTTCGCCGGAATGCGTTTTCCCGTCGGTACGCCCCGTTAAAACGGGGACAGTGCGTTGCGCGAAGTCGCACGCGGCGGCTCGTGGACACTGACAATCCGCGATGACAGGAGGAGTGACACACGCACGCACACACACACACACACTCTCTCTCACTCGCTCTCTTTCTCGCGGCGAGACGGGAGAGAGACGGTGGGAGAAAGAGAGAGCGAGAGAGAGGGACAATATAACCTCACCTCGTCAACGGCGTCGACGTCCTTGCCATTCTTCGTCTTCTCCTTGCCGCTCTTCGCCGTCTCCTGGAACAGAAGCGGAGTGAGTGCCGGGCGGTGTTGAACTCCCGGCGCGTTCGCACTCCGCGACCCGTTTGTAACGCGCGGGGTTACAGATATCGAATTCGCGAGAAAGGAGGAGAACGAGAGAGAGAGAGAGAGCGTGACAGCGGGAGAGCGCGTCGGTGAGAACGCACACGGGTTCGAGAAGAGATTCGAGAGAAGGTTAAAATACCATTGCGCTCGTTCCGGGCGCGCGGCCGAGTGAGCAGCAGCAGCACGCGTCTCCGTCGTCCCCGTCGTCGCCGTCGTCGTCGTCGTAGCCGTCGGTGATAGAGGCGAGCCGTAAAGCAAAGCACGAGCCGATCGCGCAACGCGCGCGCGATTAATCCCGGTCGGTGGCGAGAAGAGCCGAACTCGAACGGCCAGCAGCGCACCGAGCGCACGACGTCGGCCAGAGAGTCGCGCGGAAAACAGAGAGGGCGGTCGGTCTCGGGCTTCGGCTCGCTCGGTCTCGTGCGCGCGCGCGCGCAGTGCGCGCACGCGGGCGACTCGGAAATCGGGATCGGGTCAAGAAACCGGAGTCACGCTACATCCTCTCCTCGGGTGGCTGAAGGAGATCCGCCCGCCGGGGTTGTTCCCCCTCGATCTCCCTCGCCGTCTTCCGACGCTCCTCTCTCTCTCTTCCCCCCGCTCCGTCTCGCTCTTTCTCGTTATTCCTTTCTCTCTTTTCCTTCCTTCCTATATTCTTCTCGGTCTCGCGCACACCGTCGCCAACCACCTCCACCAACGCTACCGTCGTCCGCCCGGATAGGACGAGCGGGTTCCGCGCGCGCACGATAAACAACAAAACCGCGACGGAGACGACGACGGCGACGGCCGATTATCGCGGCGGACGTACCTTGCCCTTCCTCAACCGGTTCGGCATTTTATCGCCGGGCTACGCGCGATTGCGAATCCGATGCACGCGAGCGAATCCGGGCGATCGAGCCACGGCCAGCCGCGCGTGTCGGCGTGCACTCGTGGATCGCGGATGACCGTAGACCGCGGGCCAGCGAGCCGACGCGCGTCCGCGACGCCCATTGGCCGGATCGGACTCCGGCTACTCCGGACCCTCGGGGGGGTCGCGGACGTTTATCGGCGATTGTCCGCGGCCCCCCACGAAAACAAACTCGGAATTTCGAATTTGCGCTCGATCTCGCGTGGATCATAAACGCCGAAGATTTTATTGTCTCACGACGACACTGATTATGCGCGATAAAAACGTTAATTGAAGACTTGCCATTAGCCCCCATTTCAAGCTCTTCTTTCGTTTCCCTAATCCTGCCAATTTTAATTGACGTTAAAATTAAAGTGATGTACAATATGATGTTAAATGTGTTTACTTTGCAATTTAATGCGGCAGCTCTACTGTTCTTTTAAATTTTGTCCATTTGTATTTTTTTTTGACGCCAGACGCCACGAAACAATCTTGGTAAGATGGACGCCAAAGCGACGAAATTACTGCCGAGCGCGGGAAATTTTGAAAACGTAATCGTTCGCGGTTCATAAAAGGACTTTACAAAAAAGTATTGGCGCTACAACGGTTCTTGATATCTTTATATTTATTTCTTCATCTAACTTCCGAGAATTGCGTTCGTCGATATGTTCGTTGATGTCTACGACACACAATTCGTCATTAATTAATCTCATTAAAGTTAAGATTAATTTGTACAATTATTGGGAGGATTTAACCCCTTAAGAATTATGGTAATAAATTTTAAATAATTACACAATTATATTTTTTCCTCGGAAATAAAATCTAAAAATATATAGGCTAAAGCGACAACGTGCAAAGAAGCCATTCAGAGATGGGAAGAGAAAACGGGACTGGTCGCGAGCGAGCAAAAAGAGATAATTTTATCCTTCCAGTGGCCTCCGATTGAGAGAATGGATAATAGTTTGGCAGCGTTAATTAACGTCGAGTTTGTTTTTAACGAATTAACAATAACGTGAAAGATTTATATAGATCATACATCGATTAAATTATTTCTTTAAAATATTCCCTAGGAAGCTATCCTTATCGACAAATTTAATAGAAAAGATCAGCGGTATTAATTCGCTGAAATACCTGAGGATCTTGTCTCTGAGCAGAAACAATATCAAAACATTCTCGGGATTGGAGGCGATTGGTGACCATCTGGAGGAGTTGTGGATATCTTATAACTTGATTGAAAAGATCAAAGGCGTCAATGCTCTCAAAGCGCTCAAGGTTTTGTACATGGGCAACAATCTGGTGAAAGATTGGGCGGAATTTAATCGTCTGCAGGAGATACCTAATCTTCAAGATTTGTTGTTCATTAACAATCCTATATGCGAGAACATGGACGCGGAATCGTGGCGCGCGCAAGTTGTCAGGCGATTGCCTGGGTTGAAAAAACTCGATGCGATACCAGTCGTGTATGCTACGCGTTCTTTAATATTTTTTATATATATGTTATGCCGCTTTTTGTATAGGTCACATTTAAAGAAAGGTTTCTTTCCCTCTTTCAGGCACGCAGGCGAAGATTAAACTATTAAAGGACTATTAAAAATAGAGATTATCAATTGGAGTAGATTTGCGCGTTGCAAGTAAAAATTTATATTTACAAGATGAGTTATTTCAACAATAAAATTGTTATAAAAACAATAATAACTTAGAATTTTTCTAGCTATTCTAATATATAAATGATATTTCTACTGTAACGATATTTATTTCTCTATTTTAGTAAACACCTAATAATTTTCGACTTTTATGTCGTTGAGACCAAGTTCTTCATTTTGCTCGAAACTTCTATCGTACTTCGTGATCTTTAATCTATCGTCGAGTCCATCGTCGGAAAGACTTTGCACGTAGCTATTTCCGGCTGGATCATCTAAAATTAAGGTCACTTTTCTTTGACCATCCAAAACTTCCCCCAACCGTGCGATAAAAGTGTTCATCCTGTTCACGGTTTCCGAATCACTACTATCTCCGGTGAAAGTTATCGACGAAGACAACTGTTCTTTCATCACTGCTACGATCCCTTCGACGGTCGTGAAACGACCGCCCAAAATGGCTGGACCGACCTCTAACTCGAGCTCGGGTATCTCCATGTCGCAGGTTTCGGATTTCAGGAGATCGCGACTGAAGTCTTCCTTGCCTGTTATCGTCACTTCAATTCTGACTCCTTGAGGCTCGATCCCGCCGCCGCTTTTCACCTCGTTAGTTCTATGACCGCAAGACTCGCATAGCGTGGCCATTATAATAACCTCTTTAAAATGTGGTATATCTTAATATTACATTAAGGAAAAAATTCACAACATTTTTGCAATTAAAGATATTTCCAAGTACTAGCTAACAAGCAATAAAATATTTCTTTAATAGCGTAATATATTAAGATTCATTCTTTTATCTTCTCAACTTTCATATTAGGATCCTAATATTTAATAAAAATTTAATCTAGTCACACGTCTAATTAAAGGATACTTGTCAGTTTCATATTTGTCTCGCAAGGACTGTTGCAGTCTGGACAATTGGTACGAATAGAGTGCACCTCACCCTCAATTTCCTCCAAAGGATATTCCCCTTCCTGTATGGGTTCGAGTAAAACATCTTCATTATCAGAATAAATCCCTAACGTATGATTCTGTTCTGTCGTTCTCTTGAAATATGTTATAGTACACTGGCTATCTTTGATCGGTGCTTTTGGATTCTCCACATGACAGTTTCCTGAAATATCTTCAAAGATGACAGTAAATGGTTCATCTAATATCTTCAGCGCGCGTAATTTGCTAATAAATATATCTATCTCGATTGCGGTGTCTGGAAATTCTTCCCGACGCCTGGGCTGATCCTGCTCCAACGCGCTAATGCTCCTGTCGATTATCCCTTCGACGGTCGTGATCTCTCCTTTCTGGGACTGCGCGGGGATCTCAAAATCCAAGTGAGGTATACGAATGCCGGTGTAGTCAGATTTAACCACTTGGCGATTCAGATCCTGCGGCGTTGCAACTTGCAGCGTTATCTTGATCCCCTTCTCCGTTATCTTACCGCCACTCTGGATCTCGTTATTCCGATAGCCGCAGTGCTCGCACTCGAAGGACATGAGCACCACATCCTTGTAGTGTGGGATTTTCGTCAACAGCAACCGGGTAATCCCCTTTCAAGAGTAAAATATCGGTCAGAGAACGCAACGCTCTAACGAGAAACAACACTTTCAGGCTCGAAATTAATTAATGCGAGGGATTTACTTACGTTCTTGCCGCACTCCATGCACAAGCTCTCGATCTCCGTGATTTCCGGCTCCAGATCATTAGCGGACAGTTCGCAAAAGATCGGCTTGCTCCTCTCATTTTCCGTCCGTTCTCTACCGGATGCCATTCTTTGAGGGGGTTAGGTTACTCCGACTGGGTATGGAGTAGGAAGGCGCCTTTAATCCTGCCCTTGGATTATCTAACGCAAAAGATTCTTAAATCATGTATACACTCCTAAATCGCTTTATTAATCCTCTTGACGAAACTGAATATGACTTTCATCTCAGCGGATGCCATTTCTCACTTCGAGGTTAGGTTCGTCGCACGTGCGTACTGCGTATATCGATGGTCGCGCGAAGTCAGCTGTCAGTCGTCGTGTTATCGACCGAGGATATCCCTAGCTCGGTAGCCGTCAACGATTCGTGGTTCACCTGTATATCGTTTCTAGCTCGCATGTGAAATCGGTTTTCATCGCAGCATGAATGCGGACAGACGACTTCTTATTTCTTGACGAAACCGTTGGTTCTCTCTTCTTTTCGGCCGACGACGAGCGTCGATAAGCTCTCGGATGAGATCTTGCGCGGTCGTGCGCGCGAGTCGTCGACGAAGGTAGGTCGTACGATCTGTCACATCGCGCTGGAAGTCCAGGAGTTGTGGGGTTGGGTATCTCGCGACGGCGTGTCGTTGCAGGCGAGAGAACTGGAACGCGCTGGATCGGCTCGCCTAACGTCCCCGTCTCGCGGATGTCGCGCGCGCTCATGCGAGGAGCCAGGTCCTCTTGATGCGGATCGAGTCGCCCGCCAGGATGGAGCAGAGGTGAGTCAACGTTTTTCGTCGCTCGCTCGGCCGTGGGGTTATGCTTCGGGTGTAAACAAGACGACTTACTTTGCAGGTTGTCGAACCCGTCGAGACCGCCGCGTCAGACTCCACCGAGTCACTCGAGGAAGAATAAGAGACGATCCGGCCGCAGGAGCAACCCGCTGGACACGTGGCCGAACGCTCCGCAGAACGATCAGGACGGTGGCCTGGTGGCTGGCGTGGAATATCCCCCGCAGATGCTGTGGCAGTCGACGAGCATGCCGCAGAATGTGCCGGGTAACGGGCAACGTCTGTTCACCGCGATGTCTGATCCGAGCGTTTGCGGCTACTCGCCGATGCCAATGACGTATGCTATGCAGCCGGTTTCACTGCCAACGATGTACAGAATGTACCAGCCGATGCCGGTGCCAAATATTAGAACCGTCCACAGTAGACAAAGGCATCATTATAACAAGCACTTGGCGAACGTTCGTCCTGGTGCCAATAATAATGTCGCTAATGGTTATGGAGATCTGCAAGAAAATGGAATATTGGAGTCTGCTGTACACATTGGTCATCAAAATGGGGATTATACCAGTCTACCGCCCACCGCCAATAAAGACAGTGGTGTCAATGGTGATGAACTTAATTCGGAGCACAGAAGATACTCTGATCCTGGGTTAGGACCTGCTGGGAACTCGGCTCACTCAGACAGCGACGATTCCGACAGTGTCGAGAGTGGAAGTTCTGTAACGACAATTAGCCGTAGCAATAAGCTTGTCCTGTCGCTTATTGAACAGGTTTGTACTTGTCCAATTTCTGTTTATTTGGAACTATATTGGATTAAAAATAAGATGTTTTATTATTGACATGATTATTTGTAAGTGACTTTCTTAGTCCTTAAGATGCAAAGTGTATCTTATTGTTTATATTTATCAATACATATATCTCTTTCAAATATGTTGCAGATGACAGAGCTAAAGAAATGTAACAGCCAATTGTTTAAAGAACTTAGTGAAACTAAGTCGAATTTAGAAAATGTAAAAGCAAAATGGGCGCAATGTAAACACAGTACTCCTGCAGACTACCAACCTGGAATGTTATCAGGTAAAGAATAATTCTAAAGTACTTTAATATCTATAATTTTTGTTACTAGTTTCATTCAATTTTATACAGGACGACCATTACATTATTTTCATAGAATATATTATTTGTTATAGAACTTGTACGTGAAATTAGAGAAGCAAATAGGAATTGTGAAGAAGGTTTAATTACAAAAGTCAAATTTATGTTGGAAGAAAAATGTAATCAACAAGTGAAAGAAGTGGACGAGCTAAAGGTATGTATAGATAGAATATACTAATTTATTAACTAATTTATGAACTTCATATATTAATTTACATGTAGGAATTATTTTTATCGAGCGATAATGTTTAATTGTGGCATAATTTGATACTTAAATTCTCTCAAATTTTCTTTTATCTTTGAATATATAACCCGCCGAAAATACTAAGAAGTAGTTACGTTTTAATTGAACTGTATTTAATAATTATTTATTAAATAATATATTACTTTATCTCAAATATTAGTAACATATACAAACAATATGTAAAAAACGTCAATAACCCTTTATAAATAAAATAATAAAGCAAATATGTAGGATAGTCTACACGCAAACAAAATTTTGAGATTATCTTTATGCAATACTAAATATTATTTTTAATATTTTTGTATAAGTTATTATTATCGTTAACCTAATTTTTTAATGTGTCTAGTATATTGAAAATGTTCGATAGAACACAAATCATGTAAAAGAAGACATGTGCATTTGTGTGTGTATGTTATAAGCTCATTTATACATATATGGGAAAATATGGGAATAGAAAACAAAAGCAATGGCTCTCCCTTTTTTTCTCGTGCCGCTCGTGTCAGGATTGAGATACGGTAATATGAGCACTCCGTTCAATATTTTCGGCATTCGCTCTTCCGGCTCGATCATGGACGTAATGTTTGCGTAGACATTCTTACGTTCTGTTTGATTAGGACAGCCAGGTGATCGTGGTACCTATCGGTCTTTTTTCCAACTTTCTCTTTCCCTCACGGTTAACGCACCTATGCGAAATCTGTACAATTGATTTTGTTTCCGTTCGTTTGTATTCCTACTTACTCGCTTATTCCGTTAATAGGTTCCTCGGAAAGCAAATTATCCACTGCTAGCAAATTAACAATAAATTCAGAAATTGCTAACAAATTTGTGTCAACTCCGTATTAAATTCGTATTTTGCGCCTGTTAACATAATCTGATAGCAGATTAATGACAGAAGTCGAGCAGAATCTGTCGAATATAGACTTTGTTCTATTTCTGCTGCCAATCTGCGTCAAACTGCGTGGCAAGTCAAAGTCTACTGAATTTTTGCTATCATTCTGCAAATAAAATTATATGTATGATCCAATATTAAATCTGTGGCTTTCCTGTCAACAAAATTTATACCAGACACTTTGCAGAATTTATTCTTGGTAGATTTAGTTAATTAGATTCATTTAGGGCTGGTTGTTCCAGCCTGTTGCTAAACTACCTAATAGTTAAATCATATGTATGTCTTTGTTTATCCTTTACATTGGGCAAAGATAGACATATGATTTAACTATTAGGCAGCTTACCAGTAGATTGGAACAACCGGCCCTTAGATTAACGTTTACATTGTTTTAAATTTTTATACTGTTTTTATGATTAATTGTTTTCCATATTTTCTTTCCATTGCGGTATTTATTGCTAAAAATGCATGTGTAAGGTCATTATTACATGCATATCCTTTTCATTACGATGTTATATTATTAAAATTAAATAATTTTAATAATTAAATAATTTTAATAATAGAAAAAATCGTGAACGTGAATGATCGCATATTATGAATTATCTAGAAAAATCGTGAATGTGATCGCATATTATGAATTATCTAAAAAACCAATTTTCCCCGTGCATATACGTATGTTATTTTGATATGTAATTGTGGTACGCATTAGAGTATTGTATACATTGGTACAAACACGCAAATGTGTCGTTATTACATACATGCATTCGCATATGCATATCGATTTAACAACATAGACAGAAAGATATTGCATTATCTAATTCAAATTGTATTTTTCTCTCGTAACTGCACCGTTCAAGCTCGTATCACGCATTATAAAGTGTAATCTTTTATTACACATGCCATTACTAGCGGCATTGCGATAAGTGTTAAACTAAAAATACAACACTTGAATGTATACAATTATTCGAATAAAAAGAAAAAAAATTAGATTTAAGATTAAAAAGGTCACAAGATTTTTCGACGCTTCTTAAAAAATTGGCTTCATGATCTATCCTTGAGAAACGCATCAGCCGATTAGGGTTTGCTGCACGCGCGACTTGACTCTGTGAACGATGAGGGGACGAGGGGCGATGAGGGAAAGGTCGAACCGTAGAGAGACGGCTGATAAAGTCGGCCGATACCGGAGAACGCAATGTAGACATAATACGAAATATCCGTGACGCGCTAAAAGTGATTAGGTTTCACATAAGGGCATCCGCAGCGGGCAGAGTGTTGCAGAGGCGAGAGCGAACAGGGCTGGGACCGAAGGGACGGGAAAGGAAAGGGGGAGGGGGATTGGGGAAGGGTGGAGAAGGACGGAGCGCACTTAGTGGCTGTCAGGGGCCTCTCCCTTGGCCTCTTTTTCCTCTTTGCCGTTCTTCTCAGGTTTCAACCATCCATTAGCCTCATCAGCCGAAGCGATGGCCGCCACCGCCATGTCGCTTGCATATTGGCAATCTCGTAATTGAACCTCCGGGACCCTCCATCTCCACGTCCATGTAAATTTTGCTGCACGTGAGAGCCGATCAAGGTTGCCAGCTCCTTTCCCTCCCTTTTTTTTTTAATACACATTTCCCAGCGTGTCGCGTTTACCTTTAAACATCGAGATAAAGTGGTTAAAACAGATAAGAAAAAAAATTCAATTACGCTCGACGTTAATTTTGTGTAAAAACGGAGAAGTTTAGGAATAGTTGAGAGTTGAGATAGCTCTATCCAGAGAATAATTCACATCAGTTTCGTCTATAACAAGTTTGTGCGGTTTTATAAAACAAGTATCTATATTTGTCATTTGAATTTTTAACGTAAAAGTAATGAAAAATTGATCAACATAATTTGTAATAAAACGAAGAAATATATATTATTCGAAAAAAGAACGGGCTGTAACAAGATCTTTATTTGTTCTGTTTAAAAATTTCTCCAAAATATACGCCAACTTACTATATAGCTGATCTAATATTTACACAGATCTATGAATGCGAATATTATTGATTTTGATTAGAATTTTTACGATTTTTTCTAAGAATTTTTTTTGCAAGGTTTTAGTTCAACAATTACAGCATAGTCTTTTTCCGGTTCTGCTTCGGTGATACGATTTGTTTGTTAGCTTATTTTGCTTGATAATTAACTTTTCTATATTTTTTATTGCAGAATCAATTGGCGAAGCTTATGAAAGAGAAAGAAGAAAGTGACCAACGTGTCGCGAAACTGGAGGAGGAAGTGACGGCGTTGAAGCTGAGCGCAACGTAAGTAAGCTTTTTAGCATTTGTAAATATTTAGAAGCTTGCTTTAGGTTCTAGTATTTGTTTTGTATCCAACACTGTTCCGACGGTGTATAATTTAAAAGGCGCGGTAAAAAATACGATAGTATCCCAGCGTATTTGATAAAGCTTGTCGAAAAAAAAAATTGATTCCATTTATACACATCACTTCTCCATAATTGGCCATGGTTTATCATAGCTATTTGTTCCTATTTTTGGCTCTGTTTTCCGCTCATAATCCCCACGCATATATAGGGGTACATGCATAATGTTTCTTACATATTTATTTATATAACGAATTTAGCGAACAATTCTTATTGTCCGATAAGTCGCGTGCAATACATCTCGTCTATATTGTTTCGTTTATGATTATTTAAACGTTGCTTAAAGTCGAATGTCATCTCCACGATGTCATCTGGCGTCCGGCAAAGCTTCAGACTAGTCCAACGCTTTCTACGATAGAGTCACGTGGCTAAAATAGAAGGCAAGTGAAAGCCGTCACTGAATGATGAAACATTTGTATCAGCACTTCTGGATGAACTGTCCAGATATCTCATATCATTATTCACAATGACCTTCTCTCGTTCCATTTTAAGTATACGTCATTTCAATCATCTTTCGCTTCATTTCTCGACGATCCTCGAAATTATTTTACGACATTCACAACTCCAATTAAATCGGTTCGCTGTCCCCCGCAATCAACGTCGAAGCCCGCTTCTGACAAAGAAAGAAAGAACGGAAAGAAAAATCAATTCTATTCGCACTAGCAACGAAGACCGCGAGATCGCAGTCTTCGAGGAGGAGAATCTGGCGCTGCGACGGGAGCTCCAGGAGGCGCGGGCGTGCAGGACCATGGCCGAGAACGCAGCAAAGTGCGTAAACTTCGCGGTATCCAGATCTGTTACGCCTGTAACTTTCGATACGCCCTGTATAACCAGCACCCCCGTGCGTACCGCTCTTACCGATACTCGCTTCCCGCTCCCCGCCATCCCACCCGCATCGCACACATCATCATCAGCCTCTTCCGTTCTACGTTCCCGTTCCGCGGAGGTGGCGGCTTTTCAACCCACCTCCGAGGTGGATCAGTGTCAAAATTTCGCGACTGACTCCGAACCCGTGTCCCGCGAGGAGTCGCCGACGAAGGAGAGCGCGTGGAAACGCGCGGAAATGTTTCTGGCTTCCTGTCACACCACCATAACTTGCATGAACGATGACGTAACATCGTTCATCGACATAATAGCAAAGCAGGAATCGGGAGTTATGGATAACGGGACTCTTTCCGAAATTCTGTCTGAGGTAGATTTGGGTGATTGCTTGGAGTTCTACGCGAAGGAAGCGCGCGACGTCATGAGAAACGATGGTAAAATAAAATCGACGACGACCGAGACGGAGAAAAGAACGAAGGTCTTATTGACCGATATCCCAGAAGAATCTACTGACGATCAGCTGGGAATATATGACGCGAAGATGCTATCGATGCTGGAAAGAGATGGAGCAAATGATCTCGGATCATCTGGAGTCCTCGAGGAAGAGACAGATCTGCCGGATAAACTGAACGATTGCGCGAGCAAAGCGGAGAAGCTGACCAATCACTCGGATAATCACAGTTTCTGGCAGAAACTGTGCAAGTTTCGCAATCAGCGAGGCAGCTTTAAGAAACCGCGGCGGAAGAAGGGAAATTCGAGGAAGTTGTTCAGCGAGAGCGACGAGGATCCAAGCGAGGGCCAGACCAAGATCCTGATGGCCGACATGGTCCCACCGGGCTCCCCCGGGAGCGATCGCGACACGACGAACGAGGACGGGGATTGTTTTCCCAATAACGATCGCACGAATCACGGAACAACCATCACCGACGTGCCGGACGTCGTTGTGATCGGTGGTGGCTCCATCGTCCCGAAAGACCTCTGCTCGACGAGAACCCTGACTTCCAGAACCCAAACAGCACCTTCACGTGCCACCTACACCACCGCCTATATCTAGGTCATGCGCGCGTACGCGCGGGGCACACCCCGAGCAAAAAAGTCAAAAGAAAGAATGCCATACACCACGCTACTCGTCGCCAATACTCGCGAAAAAGGGGGCTTCAAGGGGCTTTTTACTAGAGGCTACTACTATGTACATATCGAATAGCACGTAGGTCTATTATTCACTCGTCATGCATGCTTTTTCGTACACGCTCGTCGGTGCTCGTGCCCCCCGGCACTTCGGAGGAATTACGTCACTCCCGGTATCCAAAGGAGATTCGTATTTTTGAACATGTACATATAAAACGTTAGCTGAAAATATTGGTATAAGTTACTTTTAGAGAAAGAAAAATTTTCGCCTTTTTTTATTCAAGAAATTACGTTTCCGATGAATTTTATATATCGAGCTCTCTTTTTAGTGATTATAACTTGCTAACAATATGATTTAAATGATAAACAATGTAGTTAGCTAATGTAGATATCGGAGTAACATAATTCATCCGCGACATTTTGCAGCACTATTTTCCATAGCGTTGCATCTTAAAAGGAAATTGGAGAAAGTCGGCTTTCTGCTGACCAGAAATAGAAATTTTTAATCTACTATGAATATAATTGTATTATTCACTTTTTTTTACATCTAGCGAAGTGTTTTATCAGTGTAAGGAACTGTTCTTTTCATGGAACGAAAGGTAAAGAATAGTAATTGATTAGCATTAATGACCAAAGGGCTTTGCATAGATCGACTTAGCAATTACTCCAGTTGCTATTTAAGTATGCAAATACTTCAATACATTGTCATTATTCGCTATACATATGCTTATAGAAATTTCAATACGTTGTTAATTCGTGATGAGTACCTGCTTCTCTATCTTACGTAGAGATAGCCGATAAATATGTATCAAATGTATGTAAAGCACATATGTGTACAATAAATACATTTTTTCATAAATTTTTATATTATTATGTAATATGTGTATATGTTAACTAAATGTTCGTTTGTTTGTCAGCACGGCATTATCAGCTTTATCAGCATGCTCTTATTTGTATTATATGTTTTTCCTACTTATACCATATTTTACATATGCATTTTGTATACATCTGTTATTGTACCTGTATTGCTGTGTGTATATATTATATTTTGTTAGTCACATTGCACATTCTTATCCCCTTGCGCCATAACAAAAACTTGACGAAATAATTGCTGTTGCCATATTTTCCATAATTCAGAAATTTTATTCTTTATAATTTTTTTTATTCTTTATAATTTAAAGTAAATATTATAAAAGTTCAATCCGAATACGTTTTTACTCGGAAGTATGCTTTCTTTTGTCATTTATATTTTTAGATCCGATTTATTAAGATATTTTTTATTTTGTAACGTGGAACAATAACGGTAATTTAGATTACGTTTTCGTTGAATTGTTATATGGTTTTCTTTCCAAAATTATTTTATCTATATAAACTATATCGTGAACGCAATCCTGCTTGCATGATTCCTCTTCAGCTCCGTCGATTTTTTTCTGTCTCCCGGAGAGATTTCCGAGCGCACGCTTCCTCTGGACGGCAAGCACCGAATCGCACCGTTTTCTTCTGTTTTCTAGTCGGCAGCATGGCTTTCCGCTGAAACTTTCGCTTTACTCTCTGCTAAAGAATTTGTTGGGCAAGTCTTTGGATGCATTAGCAAATGTTTGGATGCATTAGCGGTGGAAAAACGGCACGTTGTTCCCAAGCCGGCACGAACGAATGTAACGTGACACGAAACGTAATTTGTCAGACTGGAGAAGCTGGAGGAGATACTGCGTAAAAAGGTGAACGGTGCCACGGCCACGGAAACCGTAAGCAGGATTTTTTGCGACGTGGCTTCCGGCGCGTGTCCCGTTCCTGAGGACCAGGCCGAGGAGCCGACGAATCAGGTGCTGTCGTTATCTTCATCGTCGGAAGACGAGCAGGACGAGGCGGAGGACGGCGACGACGATGACGACGATGACGACGATGACGACGAAAAACCAGACACGTCCAGAAGTGACAAGAACTCGTCGATCGCGAGCGATTCCAAAATTACCCTCGTGATAGACGGTAGCGTAAATTTATCCGGACCGGTGACCGATCTTTGAGTGAGTGTATATGTTCCGGAAGCGCGATTGTTGCCTTATAGATATAGTACGATGAAAGCATTTAACTTGAAAATGACATTCATGCATTTTCTCGCGATTGTATAAAATCGCTGGTTAATAAATTGGTTGATGAATGTAAGCGATTTGATCTTTCGAAAATGTTTCTTCTTTTGTAAAATCACCGCGGCGATTAAATACATGGACTGTCTTGATTTTATAAAATCATCGTTATTAATTATTTTGATTTTATTAGTGCGTACGTAATCTAGAACTGCATTCATCAACACGTATAAGATTTGGCAGGAACACCGAATAATTATTTTCATCGTAACATATTGAATATACATCGCTTTTCTATAATTATTCGCGCGTTATTCAAACACTAGAGCGTACTGGTAAATATATTATTATCGATTAAAACTTTATGCATATCATCATAGTCTTCATTTGAGATCGTTTACCCGATCGTAGCTCAAAACGGTCGTTACGCATCTTCGTTAGAGAAAGAGCAATCACTAATAGATCATTGATTGTTATTAAGACTTGTTCATAATTCATATGTATTTTCGAAATAATTATTTATTACTATTAAGCGCTATTCTAATTAAGCGCGTGTAATTTTGTTGAACGTTAATATTGTTACGCGAAATATTTCTGCATAATTAACAATACCGAAATCGACGGGATCGCATGTTAAAATAGATATTTGCTTTGCATTTTGATGCTAGAATGATTCAAACGCGATAATTGAATATTTTTCAAGACTTGTGACTTTAAAAAGTACCGTTGTTTTTTAGATTATTTTGCGCAATTGCGTATGTGACGCTCAATTTTGCTTGTTACACGACAAATGTTATATTTTCAATCTATACAACATTTGTTTTTTTTTTGTTACATCGCCTTTTCCTTTCGTGCACTTTCCATCTTTCTCCTTTTACTTTTATTTTTTGCTAATGTAATCCTTTGCAATTCCATAATCAATATTCCATTAGGTCGACATAGTGTTTTACGGTAATCTCCGGAAACGTACGAATGTACTATTACAATTTGCAAACTATTTAACTATTGCAACTTGCAAATATTTTTATATAATGTCCATAAATTCCTCCAAGTAATATAAGTGGAGAGTTACACGTTAAACTATGTTAAAGAGAATTAAACTGAGGACAAAATGCTTAATTCTCACCCATTTCCGAGAAATAATTAGGACCGCAAAGGGTTAATACTAATTTCTCTCGTACCTCTCATCTGTTATCTTACCACAATGAATCTTATCTTATCTACTGCTCATTAATATAGATAAGCTTGCTCGACAATCATCGTAGTGTGAAAATATGCTTTTCGGGACATAAAAGTGTAACATGAGTCTTAAAATTCCTTGTCGTTTATGCTTTTTAATTAAACAAAGCTTCACGTGGGTATACAAATTTTAATATTAATAGATTACTCATTTCCAAATATCTTTCACTATCTATCCATTCTTAACTATGTACTAATCTATTATTTTGATCACTTATTTAAAAAACTATGCCTGATATTTAACTCTCGAATTTAGCACGCAGACTAAAATATTCCGTTAATACGTATATCCTACATCTTTATGTGGAACTACTTTGTTTACAGTAGATCTGCTTTGTACTTGACTAGCAGCTATATTATTTCTTCTTAGTCTTCTTCATATTTATTATAAATTGTAAGTAGATTTTCGCATAAGTTTAAGAACATTTTTTTAAGTACTTATAAATTCTTTTATTGTCATTAGCTATGATGCGCGAGAGGTAAGGTACTACATTACGTTGTAAATGGACTAAAGAATATACCGTTAATTGGCATAGTTACCTCATTTACCGTACGATTTTGCCAAAAAATAAGTTTCATACCTTAAAGAGCAGTTAAACGATGGAAACTTATGAATTAAAATCTTGGTTGAAATTGTCAAGATATTAAGAGCTACGAATTTTATCACTATGATTAGAAGAGTTTGAAATTTTCTGCCTTTGAGCTCACACTTAGACTATCACACAGTTGCAAGTTTGTACATGCAAGTTTATTTATCCACCTATAACGTGTCTTCGCCGGTACTGTTTACACATAGATATTTTTATGGATATCCTGCGGGTTTATTGTGGCAGATATCCTTACCGATATATATATCTCCCAACTGGCAATAAATACGTAGACGTAGTTTTACGAGTGATGACACACTCTAAACGCATATTGTAAGCAGATATCGTGTCATATTTTGTATAACTTTTTGTAGAAGTCGATTGAACAAATTTCGCAATACTATTCTTCGCGTGGGCTGATTGAGATTCTACGCCGTAACAGAGTAAGGTATAGACTGGTTAGCGTTATGGCTCCATAATTGCGGACTCGTTATCCGTTTCACTTCACACAAATCAATAGAAGTTAATTTGTGCTAACTTGCTCCGAACGCGAGATAATAAGTTATTGCCGCGATAAGGTAAACCTATATGAACTTGTTCGATGACTGTATCAGACTGTATCGCGAGTCTCACATGTGCCTCCATGTAAGATCTAATGTCCATTTTGTATGTCTCGCCGCTGATACGTTTTGTTGAGATATTTCTGCGTTCTGTTAAAAATGGTTGGATTAAGGAAGGATTAATAGGAATTTATGCCGTCGAATTGTATTCTTTATCTTCGAAACTAAAGATAACGTTGAAATGTACTGCATGGAATTGCTTTCAATTTTTTTTTGTAGTCTGAATAATATATGATCCCAATGAATGAAAGCATTTATCATGTAACCTACTTTAGTTTTAAAGACTAAATTATTCAATATTTTAGAATTTTTAAGAAAAGAAGGAATAAACAAAATTTTAATCTTTTAAGCTAATCCTCGATATCGAAGAAAATTAATAATTTTGCAACATGAACGCCTCTCTATCAGTTCTTTTCAATTTATTAGAAAAATGATCATTTACAGGATAAATTTATTATTAATCATTGGTAACATTTCATGTAAATCTCGATCGTTTTTTTAAATCTATTTATTCGTATAACGTGAGAAAAAGAAAAAAAACCCGAATGTCAAACAAAATTATTAATCGATGCATTAATCTAAAACATTCGTAATACTATGTAACGCGTATACGATGTAACACTATCCTCTCTAGCGAACTCGAAGTGCCATTAGAATCGAGCGTAGCTCAAGTTGTTCTATTTTCGATTATATTGCGAAACGTTGTAGAACAGCGTGGAATGTATCAAAATAATCTGAATAAAATTACAGATTTATGAAACAAATCGATTAGTGCAATTGTTTTATGACAACCTTGCTTATTAGATATAATTAATTACATAATATCTATTAATATATAAAATAATTTTATTAAAGCTAACTTAAAAGTGCTATGTCTGGCAATTTTTCTCGTATAACCATAGTTTCGACATATTGTTCATCTTGTTAGAACAATTGTTTCTATTCTTCCTTCTTTACTTATTCCTCCTTATTAATTGATGTATCGTAATTCTATGAAAAGATTCCAGAAAAACAATCTAATTCGTTCTAATTAAACTTGCACCGAAAAAAGATTCGATTTAATTTTCAAATAATGTGCAGTTTTTTTTACTTTTCCGAAAATTGCAAATCATTCACCAGATTGTTATATGCGTGATCCAGTTTTCTCTGTTACCGCGAATAATGATCTCCCTTGATGAATTGCCAGGCCGCTCTCTCATTTTTCCGATGGCTCTATCAAAAGTGTTTTCCTACTCGTGTTCCTCGCTTATGTACGGGGTATCCTCCGAGTGTTGTGATTAGAGGGATCTGGAAGATGTTATTCTTGCGTATGGATGTTTATCTTTACGCGCTGCGCAGCCTCCCACGAAGATCGAACTGGAACAATAAAAGGTCCAATATATCGATGGCGTCGATGTCGCTTAGATCCGGTCTGAGGATAAACGGACGAAGATAAATAACGCGGCAGGGCGTTGCAATTCTTTTCCCTAATTTTTCTCACGTATAACTCATTTCAAATTTTAGTTTTTTTTAAAGATTAATTTTAACATTAGGGGTATTCAAATAAGTTAGAGTTTAACGGTTTGACAGGTTATGTCGGGTTAAAGTCGGGTGAAAAGTTAATTTTTACACTTTTAACCCAAAGATTAATGTGATAGGTTAATGAAACACTTATGTATTTTGCATAACCTTAAAGAGTAGCGCGCCCAAAGTTAATTAATTAACTTTTTACTCGACTTTAACCCGACATAACCTGTCAAACCGTTAAACTTGAACTTATTTGAATACCCCTATTAAGTTTTTAATAAAGAGAAGTTCTAAATTTTATCGTGTAAGTTTAAAAAAAAAAATATTATTTTTTCTGTTTCAAGAAGAGCTTATTAGTAATTTCATAAGTTATGTAACGATATAAATTAAAAGAATATTCAGTTTAAAGAAAAAAATTCCGTAATATCTCTCTTGAACTTTTCGCTGTATCTTGAGAACGTATAGCTTGTGTGATTTTATTATCGTTTCTCTGCGTCATAGATAACTTAATTGCACAGCAGGATTTTGTGTCTTTCCGTGCAATAATCTAGGACCCTTTAAATTTTAGAAAAGGGACTCGGCTAAAAGCACCGCCCTCATAAATCGATTATCATTTTACACCAGCACTTTTTTCACAATCTTTTCTTTCTTTCGGCCGACTGAACGTCGGTTTTCCATGACTAAAAGGGATATATTAGTGAGTATCTGGCGTTCGTATACATCCGGTTTTACTACGCACCATTCGTGCTGATGTAAGTTTTAGTTTTTGGTCCTCTAAAAGATTCACACATACCTAACTATTTGTATCGCGGAATGACGTAACGTTTTGCTAAAAATAGAGAAATATTGAAGCACAATTACATATATAATATATATATAAATTCTTTCAAAAGAAGATATATATGAAACTGAAATTAAGATATATATTTATAAAATTAATTGAATAACGCGGCAATTATGCAAGTTTCCCAAAAACTTGTTCATTTTCAACCGTTTACATGTCAAAAATAATTGAAAATATATATCGTTGAAGACAATGTCGTTAAAGTCAAATTCTTCGCGAGGAAGACGTGTATGCGATAATTTGGGGACGTAACTCTAAGTCATCCAATTAGCCGACGGGACGGCTCGGACATTTTTTCCAGAGAACGTCCACGACGTAAGAGTCGTAATTGTGGGCAACGATAACGCGCCTTCTCGTTACTACAACTCATAATTTCTCGTTCCGCCCACTTCCGGTACGAGTGCCTACACCCGCTAACGCGACGATCGCTTAGAAAGAGACCGAGAGAAAGAGAGAGAAAAAGAGAAAAAAGGAAAGAAGAAACGACGGATCGATCGATATTTCGCGAGGTAGTGTTCGCTCGCTCGCTCGTAAGAGTGTGGGTCCTCGGATAATTGAAAGCTGCCGGAAAAATCGTGCGAGTCATCGCGGTACGAAGGTAAATTGCGGGGGGTGGAATTATTAAAATTGACTCGACGGAAGTGGCGGTTGGCTCAGGCTACGGCCGCTGGTCGAGAAATCGCTGCCAATTCGAGGCGTTTGATCGGCGGCGACTCATCCACCACCTGCCTGTCTAACCCAATGCTCTCTCATCGATCGACTTCGACCAATGCCCCGCGCGGCACGGCTCGTTAAAAATGACCAAAGCCCGTGTGTCCACCTCCGCACACGCTAAATGCGGCTATTGAATTCCCCCGGCTCCTAACAACATTCTTTGTACGAGGGAAATAAAGTTCGGAATCATACGGACGTATTTAGTGCGAGGTGTAATTCGTACATCTCTTTCAGAACCTTCATATAGAGAATCGTCACATTTTTCAAAGACAAGAATTATTTTTTTACCTGAACTCTAGATATTGTTTGATAAGTACGTTAGACTCGTACTTGTATTCGTGTTTCGACTATCTTGATTATATTATTCCAGCGACACATTTAGGTGTAAGATATACCCAGGTCCAAAAGCAAGGCAATATATATAAATATTTCGAATTTTTGTTTAAATATTTAAGTTAAGCTCGAGCGGACTTTGCCGTAGCAGAATTTTAACGTAACACTTAGTTACCATAATATTTCACAATCAATGTTTTACCGAGACATCTAAAGTTCAATGTGTTTAACAATTGAAAAATGGCGCTTACTTTAATTTTAATGAAAAAAAAATTGACTTAATATTTTTGGCTGAGATACCGCCTTTTAAATCGCATATATCGGTAGGCGAAAATACATATAAAAATAGACAACACTACATATTTGCGATTACACGCTGTTAATAAGTTAGACACGCCGAGCAAACAGGGCAAAACTTCTCGGATTGGCCTGATGGCCTGCTTGCAACTTTTATATCTCGCAACGTTTGCATTGAAACGGTGAAACAGAAATTTAACGAGAGGACGATAGACGGGGGCGTTCTTGTTTGCACAATCGATTCGCCACATACGTGCTTTTACGCGCGCGCTGCAGAAGAACGTCCTTCCCGCTCGGAAAATATCAAAAATCCGGGCCCGCTTAAATTCTCAGATGCGAACGTTACGGAATGTTGCGTATTCTTTTTAACGTTTCATGTCCATTGTTCTAACTAAATATGTTCAAAATAAATAAAAATCATGGAAGGAAGACGATAAGACACTCCTTTCCGTATTGTTTCGAATTATTTTTGAGTTTATCAACAAATAGAAGCGTATAGGATTATAGGCATTTGAACGTTTTCTTCGACTTTTATATAATAGAATGGATGAACTGAACTTTAAATCGTCTTATTTAAATATTGAATAGCAAAGTCCAGAACACAAAAATAAACTACGAGTTAAAACTAGTAGAAAACTTGTGCATTATCTCCCGAAAGAAAGTCATGTTACAAAATAGTATATTACCTTCGTAGATATCCGTACAAGTATTTTATAACTGACATGTATTTAATCAAAAGAAAACCAAGGTCAAGGTAGAGATAAGTGGTCTTGAATGATTGTGTGACTTATCAATTAAAAAAAACAAATGATCTAAAAATAACCTTATTTTTCCTGAGTCACAAGGTCACGACCAAGAGATCAATGAATTTCGAATAATTTAACGACAGGCAATTGCAATGTCTTTAGATACACGCAATAATTTTTTCGACGAGTCTCTTAATAAAAAAAGAGCTAATAGATAAATACTATATAAGTTATGTAAGTATAATTAGCACAAATATAATAGCATAATAAATATAATAGCATGTAATACGTACATGCGTATATAATTAGACTATATAAGCAATATAATCTAATTCTAATATAGTCTAATATGCAAGTAGTGTATTGGCGTAAAATTGATCGGTTAAACGATGGCGGAAGAGTCAAGCCACGGTGTCGACGTCATCGTCTCGTGCAAAGATGTTTAGAGTGGCTCGCGTGGAATTTTCGTGATTACGCCTATCCTCGGAGAGCTTTCCCATAGGATGAGGGTGCAGTCGATAGTGGCTTCCGTCACACGCCGGGGGAATGAAAACGTGCGACGAGTCTATTATTTTTGCCTTGGGTGCCGATCGAGGGTGCGCCGCGGTGCCAGGGTTTTCGTCGGAGATAGGACGGCCAGCGAGATTCGGGGATCGCAAATCTGGGAAATCCACGGCGAGGCACGCACAGCACGTGGCTATCCGGTCTGCGCCACGTTTGCGCCCGATAAAGCACACACATCGAAAATATCGTTTTTTAAGTGGCTCAATATGCCCGGTGACGTCCGCGGCTGTCCCCCCCCTCCACCCCGCGGCTCGCCCTCTCAATCCTTTCGGCAGCCAGATTTGCAACTTTGAAATTCTTAAAGATTTTTCCCCTAATGCTATGCGCGGTCAGTCGTTTTATCCGCGAGATATAGAAGAGAAGCAACATTCTGCTCTTTTTTTAGTGTATTGTGGTGAAGTTCTAGGAAATACTTCTTCCACACATTCAGATTTAAGTCAATTATTTGAACTTTTTATTTTAATGTCGAAGTGATAAAATGGAAATGTCGAATATCAGTTTTGTATAATAATGCAAGGATGAAAGATAAGACTGCATTTCTCAATATTGGTCTATCGGACCCAATATCTCGACAAATATTGGTGTACGCACGCACGAACTTTGCTAACGATTTTAAAACCGTTACTTTCCTAGAATGATTTTTCAAACAATGTTCAATCTTTTTCGTGCGCCATAGGGGCGCGATAACGTATGAAACATACAAGATATGAGCTAAAATAATCGAAAACTTTTTGTACCATGTTACTATACATTACTTT